ATCTAGCCATGTCCATCTGTCCGACCGTTTTTACGCAAACTACTCTCAGAGTTAAAGCTATCTTTATGAAACTTTTCCAAAAGATGTCTTTCTATTGCAGGTAGTATATAAGTCGGAACGATCCGGATTGGACGATTATAGCATATAGCTCATATATATATACTTTATAGGGTCGGAAACGTATCTTTCACTGCATTGAAAAATTCTGACTGAAATTGAAAGGAAAAAATGTAACTTTTATATTTTGTAATATTTTTTTAAATTCTTTTTGACTTATTAATAATTTGATAGTTTAGAAATACACCTTACATTTTGTTAAAATCGAAAAACGATATCATATAGCTGCCATAAGAACTATCGAATAATTGAGCTGCAAATCATCATAGCTTCAATGTTTTTAAACATAGAGTATACCCAAGTAAATCATAATTTTAATGTTTTCAAGAATATTTAATTTTTGAAATAGCTGCAAGGGTATATGAACTTTGGCTTTCCGAAGTTTGCTTTCTTTTTTGTTTTTGTTGAAATTTGGTTAAATTCTGTGTCACCTTTGTTTGCATATGTTTCTAACTTAAGAAATATAATCAGAATTAGAATAAGAACAATTTTTTCAGTATGTATCTGCCTCACCTTAACTTGTTTAACTTGTTCTTACCATGTTTATGTTCTGGGTATCATATTCATACGCTTTTGATTTTTTTGATTTGCCTTTTCTTGATGGTCCCGAGGACTCATTTGAACAATTTAAGTTAAGAGATTCCATGTCTTGTTTTCGTTGTTTTGGTCGGTTCTAGGGTTCTGTTTTCAGAAACTAGTTATTAGTTCCGCTGAAATAAAGATTTTTTCTTATTTAATTTTATTTGTACTTACTTTTGAAAATAGGAGCTTTAAACAGTTTTCATACCAATTCAATTTGCAATGGTATAACAATGAGGATCGCTATAGGAGAGTGATTTGCCTATAAAATTCCCGTTACACAGCTAACCAATTTTAAAAGGCCTTTCCAAAACTGCTTGTAAAATCTTTTCTCTGTTTCTCATTCTGTTAAAAACGCACTGCTAAACACCGATTTTCTCCCAAGACAATTAACGTCAGAGTGCGTAAATTAATTTTATAGACTTAATTTCTTTATAAAACTCTTCTGAAATAAATGTTTAATTTGAAATAATGATCCCAATATCTGAACGTTACCGTGTGTCTGTATAATTTTACTAATGTGCGTCGCCAAGTTGTGAAATAAACTTGCTCTGCGTAGGCATTACTGAAATCTGCATGTTAAATCTTAAGTTTTGTAGCGAACATGCTAGTTTTAACTATTCTAAAACCAAGATATTATTTATATAGAATAGATCGAAAAAATTGAGCGGAAAATCTCATAAAAAACAAAGTTTAACCGTGACCCAAATGATTTTTGCTGTCAAAAACATTTTTTTGTTTTTGGATTGCTTTGTTCATTTATTTGTTATCCACCTGAATTTAAAATCCTTATTTACAATCTCTACCTGTGATGTTTATATAATAAGGAAGCTTTTCTGTGAATTCATGCATGTGCATGCATTTTTTTAGTGTACATATGGATACACACTAGATTGAAATGAATTTATCAGCATCTGATTGTATGTTTATGTGTATATGGTTACTAGAAAGGAAAAGTACATTTTTATATGCTCCCATTTTATAGAACCATTTATTCTTCATCTGCATGATTAAAAATAACTATCTAGTTAATGAATTTTTGCTTGGTTACCTCTTTTATTATTTTCTTTCACAACTGAACCAAATCTGGGCACAGTGTAATTTGTTTAATTGTATTTATACTGCTATTTAATTGTATTTCGCTTTAAGTTGTCAAGTGCATAAAACTATAGTTTTGTTTAAACTTATTAATAAGCACACCAAAAATTATTTGTTATTTAAAGATCGGTGTTCAGAACTTGACGAGCGAACAATATAGACTATTTCTATGTAGACGCAAAGAGTTTTTTGTGTTGTCAGATATTGTACATGTTGATATAATTTTCAAAGTTGAGTTAATTTTAAATGAGTAAAAGCTTTTTTCGAAAAAGTTTTTGAAAGCTTTTTACACAATAGAAATGTCTGAATAATGCGGCGGGATCTAGAAACCCCTTTAAAAGGCCAACTGATTGGGATATCAATATTTTCATTAGTTTAGTTCAAACTCCACCAAATCCCCCGAACATAACCCAAAAGATCTAGAGAAACAAAATGTTTTCATTATTTCTTTATAAGAGTATGTGTGTACCCAGAATGTAAAAAAGATTTATTATACCTTTGCAGAGGGTATTATAATATCAGTCAAAGTTTGCAACGCAGTAAAGGAGACATTTCCGAACCTATTAATATATGTTGATCAGCAATACTAGGAGAGTCGATCTAGCCATGATCGTCTGTCCTCCCGTCTGTCCATCTGTCTACGCCAACTAGTCTCGCAGTTTTAAAGCTATCTGCACGAAACTATCCCAAAAGTTGTCTTTCTATTGACGGTAGTACATAAGTCGGAACGAGCCGCATCGGCCGACTATAGCATATAACTCCCATACTGTAGTTCTTCGACTACAGTAATGGTTAAATATTTCAGAATTTCTGTTTAAATTTCATCAAAATCAAACGACTATATTATCATATAGCTTCCATAGAAACAATAAAACTATTGTATTAAAAAAAATTTTTTTATTTTCAAATTTAATTTTAATTTGTTTTTTAATTCTTTTGACTTATTTATAATTTGACAGTTCAGAATTACCCTTTTAATTATATTAAAATCGTAAATCTATGTCGTATAGCTGTCATAGGAACTATCGAATAATTGAGCTGCAAATCATCATAGCTTCAATGTGTTTAAACATATACCCAAGTAAATCATAATTTTAATGTTTTCAAGAATGTAGTTATTTTTGGCGACCTTTCTAAATAATATTGGTTGTTAGCCGGCTTACTTCAGGATATTGAAAAAATAATACAATTTTAATTTTGGGCTCTTCTGTCGATATATTTCGGATGCTCTTCGGCAAACCGTCTTCAGGACAACTATAAAAGAATAACAACAATTTTAATATTCTCAACAAACGAGAACAATTTACATTTAACATAACTTACACGTCTGCGTCCGGTGACGTGGAGTTGTTAACTAATTTTTATTTTTCTTTCCCTAGTAAATGTCTTTATGAGCGCAATTGTCAGTGTCCGTTTTGTAGTTCATCCGTATGTCTGTAGGCGTTTTTATGATATGTAGCATTTCTGTGGTGAATCGTTGTTCTTGTGTTAAGATACTGTCCTCTTCGAAGTTCGGAGAGTGATTATTCTAGGCACAGTGGGACATGAGTGCTGTTTTTTTTGCGCGTTCGTATGGTGTCTAGTTCTGAAGTCCGATCTATGCTGTGCTAGTATGGTTTTTAGTTTCGATTTTGTTGTTCCTGTATATATCTTGTTGCATATTTCGTTGTTGTTGCCGTTGCAAACTACCAAATAAAAAAGTAATTTTTTTCAAACATTTTTGTTTTATATTTATATTGTTCCCATGGAAGCTTTAAGTTGTAGTTCAATTCGATTTTTTTTATTAGATTTACAACGTTTCCCTACCCTGATCAGAAATTTTTCGGGAAGTAGTTCTGGCTGATTGAATTGCGCAGTTTGAAATGGCCCTTCTTCAAAATATATGCGGTCTGATGCATGGTTTCCTGAGCTTCCTGTGATTAAGTCTTCCACATCAAAATCTTGTAATAGAACCTTCGATCTGATGGTAAATTATGATTTCTCATCAGCAGCCAATTGTTGCATAGCTCGAACTGAAAATAATGACTCAGGCATTGTACCGCATGTTACGGTGTCAAGCTTGTAAATTTTAAATGGGCTGATGCGGGGAACCACGCCACAGTAAACATTGGAAATAACTATCTGATCCAGCAATTCGAACACATCTGTACATTTTGCAGATGTCACCAGTAAAAGCCACTGAAAAGATATACCTAAACTGTAGGAACGTTACGAATAGCAATCGCTGTATTGTAAGTCCAGTTATAAAAATGTCATAAGGATCGGCCTGATGATGAAACAGCAGATCCGTTAAACAACGACTCATAGCTTAGTTCTTGTGCTCTCCCTCGTCAGAACGCAATGATGAGGCTACAAATACTTTGGAAAAATGACTCTGGGACTCAATCTTCTCCTTAGTGTATCCGGAACTCTTTGGCTTTTCCACAACTGCCGAACTGAATCATTTATTCCAACAACGGCTCTGTCTCTTGAAGTCTGAGAAGTCTTAGCGGCCAGCAATATATTTTGGAAAGTGCTTCCCTTTATAATTTGAATGTTTTTTTTACTTGATGCTCTTTACGAATCTGTGAGACGTTGTTGTGGTTGCTGACAAAAAAACTACATTATAACACCCTTTGCTAAGACATTAAAAATATTTAAATAAAAAAATGCATATGTCGGAGATTAATTTGAAATATAATGAAGAAATATTATTTGTAAGTCTCTGAGTGTATTGAATAAACGAAGTTAAAAAGAAATAAGGAAGAGAGAAGCTTTTGAATGAGAGCGCGGTGGGGAAGGAGAGCGAAATCCCTACTGAGCGTGGCGCAATGAGAGGTAGAGAATAATGAGCGAGAGGAAGGCAGTTCAAGAAAGCCTGCGAAACGGAACAGACGCTCATGCAGAGAAACCATTGCGACTCGCTGCGCTGAAGAAAAATATAATTCCATAATGGCAGACGAACCAGACCCCCTATCTCCTACACATATATATATTTTTAATATAATAACCATAATAATAAAACCCCTTTACAAACTAAAAACAATAAGTATAGACTTACAAAAATTAGTTCTGTTCGGTTTTTATATTTACACAATAAAATTTTAAAAACGGCAGAAAAAATTTTGATGCTTGTTTTATTTAATAATAATAGTTCTAGGAATAATTAATAATTCTAAAAGAACTTTTGTTTGTGTTCATTTTTTATTAATGTTTACAAACTAAATTACAAAGTTATTATTAATATTAAATTTAATATACACCCCGTTGTTCCGGTTTCTAGTCAAAATCAAATTTGATGATTTCGAAGATGATTTAGTTTGACTTTTGAGAAATTTGTAGTTGCAATTCTGGCGATTATTAGAAGGAATTAAAAAAACAGAATTGTGCAAAAGGAATCACGATATCTCTATGCATTCCAAATTTGATCAAGACCGAATTTTAAATAGTGTTGGTTGATGTACACTTTCAGTCTGCATACACCACAAAGGGAACATGGTTTTCTGACACCCCATCCCGAAACTCAACCTTAATAAATTTAGTAGAATTAGTAGAATTATCTTCTCTTGGGCTGTTTGACTCAACGTTTAAACAGCCAGTTTTCCGTGAAATGCTGGTATTCCTCCTTAAATGAAGTTGATATTAAAACGTTAAATTTAATATTATTTAAAAAACTTACTTCGCTTTAGCATGAGTTAATATGTGAGATTTTAAATTTGTGGATTGAGCAAACTTTTTGTTGCAGGCATCAAACGGACAAACAAATGGCCTATCTCCTGTGTGTATTCTTACATGTGTTCTGTAAATAAAATGATTAATAGCAATAAGTTTATGAGTGTATAAAATGGATTTATTTTATTTTATTTATTTCAAGCAATTCATTAACAATGACAGTAAGTAGGCAATGAAACTTTAGTTTTGGGCTCAGAAGAAGCCAAGGGATTCTTCATGCATTATTTAGTCAACGCAGAACTATTCTACGTATATGTGGCATATTGCGGGGTAATACAAAAAAATTTTAATTATATTGCACTTTGAGACATTTAAACCCAAAAGATAATCACAATACCATATTAGAAAGGCATTCAGATTGGATTGTAACAGCAGAAATTTCCGTTGTTACAGGCATAACTTTACTTCATGCGTGTACTTTTCTGTCCGTCCATTTCTACGCAAACTAATCTCCCAGTTTTAAAGCTGTCTTCCCAAACGTCTTCTTTGTATTGCAGGAACGGCCGGGATCGTACGACTGAATGTCAGACATATAGCCGTAGGAACAAACGTAAAAATAAAGAATATGAATTATACCATCATTGTTTATAAACATAAATGGGAGTTATGGGAGTCGTCCGATTTTGATGAAATTTAAACCATTACTATATGTCGATAAACTAAAAAAAAAATTAAAAAACAGCAAACTTATAATTTTTTTCATTTATTTTTCCGATTGATCCTATGGGAACGACTATATGCTATAGTCGTCCCATCCGGCTCGTTCCGACTTATGTACCACCTGCAATAGAAAGACAACTTTTGGGAAAGTTAAAAACTGAGCTTTAAGACTGAGAGACTAGATTGCGTAGAAACGGACGGACAGACGGACATGGCTAGATCGATTCACCTAGTGATGCTGATCAAGAATATTTATACTTTATAGGGTCGAAAATGTCTCCTTCTTACGACTTTTAAATAAGCACCAACTAGTTTGAAGAATATATATTCTTTATAGCAGGGGTCTCCAAACTCTGCTTATGGCTGAGCAAACACCAATACATTGGTGCGAAGAAAATCAGTATAATAAGCGATAACCTTGTTTTTGCAACCAGATTTTCTGAGCCTAAGTAAGTTTTTATCTAACTTTGATCAATCCGATCCCTACTCATGCAAAAAATTGGGTGATGCCCTTAATATTTAAATGTAAAGTTCAGACTTTATAATAAGTCAAAAAAAAAAAAAAAAACCGCTACAACAAAGATTTAAAGCTTTTTTCTACACAGGGCAATTAGGAACTATTATTATTCAGTGCAAAGATTACAACGCAATGAAGGAGACAGTTCCGACCCTAAGAAGTATTTATTATTGATCAGCAACATCCGCCCATCCATTGCAGGTAGTAGGTCTAGTAAAACGTAATCCATTATTTGAACAATAGATGACTTTAGTGATCTGTATCTCGCGATGTATAAGTCCGATTTAATTTTAGTAGGTTGCGTTAAAAAGTTGAGCATTCGTACTATAATAGCTTTTTAGAAGAGCTTTGAGAGCTCAAAAAATAAGAGACCGACAATTTTGCTTTGGCAAAAGCGAAAACGCAAGCCGGGAAGCTGAAAATGTAAATGGAGTATATGGCCCTAATACTGTAACTGCCAATCATGCACAATTCTGGTTTGGTCGATTTCGTTCTGGAAATTTTGAAGTTAAAGATGAGGCACGCTGCGGAAGGCCACTCGTCAAAAATGCATAACAAATTATGGAAATCGTTGAGTCTGACCGTCATTCTGAGTCTGACCGTCATTGCTCAAAAAACAGTTTGGAACCATTTAACAAAGGCTGGAACACAAAAAAGTTGGATGTATGGGTGCCACAAGAGCTATAAAAAAAAACCTTTTGGACCGAATTTCGATCTGCGAATCGCTGCTGAATCCCAACAAAACTGAGCGTTTTTGAAGAGGATTGTGCCTGGTGATGAAAAGTGGAAACTTACGACAACGTGAGGCGAAAACGGTCATGGTCGAAGATGGATGAGCCGGCCCAGGCGGCGGCTAAGCCAGGATTGACGGCCAGAAAGGTTTTGCTGTGTGTTTGGTGGGATTGGCAAGGAATTATCTACTATGAGCTGCTCCCCTATGGCAAACTTAATTCGATTCTGTACTGTCAACAATTGGACCGTCTGATAGAAGCAATTCCCCAGAAGCGCCCTACTTTAGCAAATAGGAAAGAAATTGTTTTCCATCAGGACAACGATAGACCACACAGCTTGGACGGGAGGTTCTTTTGCATACACCTTATAGCCAGGACATCACACCAAGTTACGTCCACCTTTTCCTATCAATGTCGACCGATTTGGAAAGCGTAAAATAAGCTACAAGGGAGAATTGTGAAAACCGACTGGCTCAGTTTTTTGGAAATAAGGACGAAGGATTTTATGAGGGGTATCATGAAATTACCATAAAAATGGCCATCGATTGTAGAATAAAATGGTGCTTATTTGAAATAAATCAGTTAATTCTAACCATAAAAAAAACTTGAAGTTCATGTACAAATAATGGATTTCTTTTACTTGACCTTATATATAAATCGTAGAGGACCATATCAAACGACAATATATATATTTTGAAATTGCTTTTCTGTTTGCAAAGGTTTAACGATATTTTTTCATAGACCTATAAAACGAAATAAAATTTTAATTTTTTTTTTTTAATCATTCTTTAAATTAAATTATTTGAGGTTTAGTAGTGATTGCATTTTTTTAATTATTTTATTATTTTTATTTCATTAAGATCAAACGACTTCATCACATAGAAAACGAAAAAAATGAACAAAAAACATTTAACTTTGCTGTTTTAAAATTCGGAAGTTTTTATACCCTTGCAGCTATTGCAAAAATTAATTAGTCCTTAAAAAATCTAAATTTCTATTTATATGCGTGTATGGTAAAAACATTGAAGCTATGATGGTTATCAATTTAATTATTCGATCGTTCGAATATGATATCGCTTTTTGATTTTAATAAAATTAAAACGTTATTTTAAAGTATTTAACCATTTCTATGTCCAACATTTTTTTGGAAAATACTAAAAAAAAAATTTTTTTGTTTCATTTTTTTAATATAACACTTTGATTGTTATATGAGCTATATGTTTAAGTCGACCGATTTTTATTAAATAAAACCGAAATTCTGATATATTAAACTATAAATATTTCTCGAAGACCCAAAAACAAAATTAAATAACAGCGCAGTTATTATTTTAATTTATTTTGCTAATTGTTCCTATGGGACCTATATGATATATATGACCTATATCCGATCCGGCTCGTTCCGCTTATATACTACTTTCAATAGGAAGACATATTTTGGGAAAGTTTCATGTAGATAGCTTTAAAACTGGGAGACTAGTTCGCGTAGAATCGACTCTCCAAGTGAGATAGATCAAGAATATATAAACTTTATAAACCCGGAAATGCCTCCTTCACTGCGTTGCAAACTTCTAACGGAAATTATGATAATATAATTATTTAATTGTTCCTATGACAGCTATATGATATGGTTTTCAGATTAAAATAAACCATTACCATATCCAAAATAAATTTAAAAAAAAATAATAAAATTTTGTTGTTAATATTCCAGTGGTATCCTTGGGAACTATATGATATGGTCTTCTGATTTAATATAATTTAAATCGTAATTTGAAAATTCATAAAAAATTCATATCACGAAAAACTAAAAAATAGTTTTAAAATGTTTGCTGAAGTCCACTTAGTAGTTCTTTTTTTAATCGGTTTATTTCGATTAGAAGCAAAACAGGAAGTGAAGCAAACTTCGAAGAGCTGAAGTTTATATACCCTTTTACTTATACCGAAAATGTAATGTACTTAGAATATATATTTAAAGGTTCATTAGAACCATTGACGTTAAACTTTATCATTTACCTTAAATTAAAATCCAGTGAAAATCGTTTCCCACATCCTTCGAACGTGCACTGAAATGGTTTTTCTCCTGTGTGAACCAACTGATGTCTTTTAAGTTTCGAGCTCTCTACGAAAGCTTTTCCACATTCTGCACAAACATGAACACGAGGACCGTGAGTGTGTAAATGTTTGCGCATTGCAGATGAATCTCTAAAATTTTTATGACAACCCTTATGTGGGCAAGCTATTTTTTTATCATTTGGATAGGCCACGGTGACTTCAGAGATATTAAAATTTAAATCCGCGCTACCAGTCGATCCTGCATTTAATAATAAAAGTTTTAATATATTTCGTATTTTACAATATTATTTAATTTTTAATTTTACAATATCTTATTGTTTTACCTGTATTGTCGTTGTATGGCAATTGTGGTGAGCAATCAGTTTGTTGCCTTTCATGTAAGCGAAGACCAAATGGCACTGAGCTAGTCGAAGTATGAAGATCGCCAGTATTGTCATTACTTAATATTCTATGATTATCAATTGTCATGGCGGCAGATTCATTTACCATATGTATACTTGTGGTATCAGAAATCATGATGGGATCATCGAAGCTCAAGTTTGATTTAGTCAAAATCTTATTGGAAAGATTATTTTCATAAGACAGAACAACTTTCTCTTTTGTTAACTGTTCTATGATTGGAACTGGGCTTATAGTTGGCTGCATTTCAAGTGCTTGTGATTCATGAGTAAATACCTCCTGTTGCAATATAGATTCAACCTGATCGAAGTCCTTGTTTTGTTGGGCCGAAACACGATCAAAATCGTCTTTACCCTTAAAAAATTCGGACTCGCCAACATTTTGGTCTGACCCCGAGTATTCATCATCGGAGATTCCGGACGCCCACATTGTCACACTAAACTCTCCTTCCATTGTTTTAATTTGAACAAGCTTTTGTTCCCACCGCCTTGATTTTCCAGTTGATGTTACTGTTGTTGTGTCTGAGGCTAGGAAAGGTGAACTGTCGGCAGTTTCCGACTCTTCAGTGGGGCTGCCATTATTAAGTAGACTATTTGACACATCCTTTGAAATTCCCTGATTTCCCACACAACCGCTGTTTTTATAACAATTTATATTCATTTGATATCCAATGTTGGCATTCTTTCTTCTAAAAATAAATAAATTTTTATTCATGTCTATAATAAAATACTTACTTACGTCTTAGAGGAAAATAAATTCTCAGATTCTTTTAATTGTAATTTTCCATGGACATTAGAATTGATTTCGTTATCACCCATTTTTGGTTCTGTCTGAATAACTGAATCACATACTTTACTTCTGTGCAAGTTCATGTGACTGCTAAGGGGTATAGCATCTGGAACAAGAACTATTTAAAAAAAGTAGTAATGAGTGCATAAATTTGTATTTCAAGAATTAAGCAAACTTCTGCAAGGCTAAGTAGGCTAGTATACATTAGGCGTTCGATTTTTATAGAGATAAAAAGGTATTTATACCTGCTACTCGTACAGTAAAAGGCAAAGACTCTATTACACTACGATGAGTAATGGTGAGAAAGAAAGAAAATGTATCTTTGCTGCTGCTTTAGTTTTCTTTTCGAGATAGTAATTCAGAACTAGGCTTTTAATTTATTTAAAATCAGAAAACGACTGTTTGGTGCAATACGTGGTTGATTTTAATTCCATTCTGAGTCATTAAATTAGTTCTACTGCAAAATTCATTTGTGAAATGAAAATACTCAGCTAATAAACTTCAAACTAAATATTCCCCCACATCACCATCTGTGGAACTGCATTGCCAACACTAGAACTTGAAAGATGGCTGCAGTACCCCCATCCACCCGCTAACATTCTTTTCGCTTTTTCTTTTACATCAGCGATTACTGCGGACCTATCTAAGGGGCAAAGGATACTGTTTTGCCGGAGTTTTAATACCCTTGAAGACTTTGCCGAAATTGCTAACTTGGAAAAGTAGCGAGAGTAACAAGAGCGTAATAATTATTTCTATGGAAGCTGTAAGATATATAGATGTCCGATCGGCAAGCGCTTATACCCTGATCAAAGAATGCTTAAATTAATAAGACTTGGAAAAATTGATGTCAATAGCTTTTCAAACTTAATCTGCGTACGACTAGCTTATAAACTGAGCTTGCAAAAGGTACTAAAACAGACAGAAAGATGGACAAACCTATATCGACTCCTCTACTGATCCTGATCAAGAATATATATACTTTATGGGATCGGAAACGTCTTCTTTACTGCGTTACAAACTCCTGAACAAAATTATAATACCCTCTCAAAGGTTATAAAAAATGATCCAGAGATAATACCGTTCAAGAAAAATTAAGCAATTAATCAAGCAATGTTAAATCGTCTCAGGGGTTTTGGAGGGAAGAGAAGGTTAGATGTAGTTGATGCGAAAGAATTAATGTGTCCTACGTTTTGGGGAATTAGTATGCGTACCAAAAGTTTCCGAAAAGACACACATTTTAAAGTTTGTTAGCGTCTTAAATTTCAGGCGATTTGATTGATGCTAGTAACTTACCATTGCTTATACTTTGCACACTTATTTTTTGAATGCCTTTTGGGTTGACTATATCATCCTCGTAGTGCTCATTTTGAAGAAGTATGCCATAACGTTCGTATGCCATATTTACAATGTTTTGATCCATTGAATGATTTAAGTTTACAGGTAGTATTAAAGCATTTCATGTGCAAGCATAAATGCACGCATGTGTTAGGTAATTTTGTTTTTTTTTTTAATTTCCCTGAGGGTTGAATTTGTTGAGGCTTACTTTTTGTTAGATCTGAAAGATGAGAATGTTGTTTTACATGTAATCAAGGCAGGGATTTTTACGATAATTACATACGCACATATGTATGTGCATATACAAAACAATTATTTTTACGTACATGTATGAAAAGCGGATTTTTACGCAAAACGAAACTCAACTTAAGAATATTTGTTATTTTCATTATAGAACAGAATAATCTTTAAAGGTAAGATACCAAACAATTGTTTAAGGAAAATGCACCATAATGCACAGATTTTAGTTTTGAATTGTATGAAGTATTTGTAATTGTCCAATAAATTTAATGTTTATCTAGTTTTTGTACTAAAAACAAAATAAAACCAAAAAAAATTTAGACAATTTTATAAAACCGATAACAGATGCCGTAAAATATCAATAATGGTATTCGGTTGTTTGGCATGGGTATTCAATTACTTCTTGGCTTATATACTAAACTTTGGTATACCGATAAAAAACGCAAGCAATATGACTAGTTCTCACACCACCTAACTCAAAGATATAGCGGAAGGTTATCTTGGGTATTCCCGAAACGTCTGAATCTCTGAATTGCACAAAATTCAGAAAGAATTATTAGAGGACGAACAGCTGACTTTCAGCAATTCAGAGGCTCAGACGTTTCGGGAATACCCAAATTGTTTTTTGCTGCATTTTCTTAAGCTAAATGCCTGTTTAGAATGGCGGCTTTTTCGCTTCAGCGACCAAATTCCGCTTTATAGCGTATTTCCACAGAGATCCATCCACCTTCCACCATTCGTTGAAGGGATGGTTCATAAGGTTTTGCCATTCCAAAAATTTCCCAGTTAGTCCGAAGTTAAAATTTGACGGACTTTGACGGACTAATTTATGCAATAGTTAGCCGATGTTTCTGCTGGGATTTTTGAAAAAAGTGGAATTCCTCTGGTTTCCACAGAGCACATCACCCTTCCGATATCAGCTGCATTTTCTTGAGCTAAATGCCTGTTTAGAATGGTGGCTTTTTTGCTTCAGCGACCAAATTCCGCCTTATAGCGTATTTCCACAGAGATCCATCCACCTTCCACCATCCGTTGAAGGGATGGTTCATAAGGTTTTGTCATTCCAAAAATTTCCCAGTTAGTCCGGAGTAAAAATTTGACGGACTTTGACGGACTAATTTATGCAATAGTTAGCCGATGTTTCTGCTGGGATTTTTGAAAAAAGTGGAATTCCTCTGGTTTCCACAGAGCACATCACCCTTCCGATATCAGCTTATCTGAACAGCTGTTGCTTTTGAAAACATAAAAAGATGACGAGCCACAGCTGTTCAGATCAGCTGAAATCGGTAGGTGGATGTGCTCTGTGGAAATCGGAGTTTCACATTTGGTGGAAATTCCAATCGTTTCCAACGGATGGACTGTGTGGAAAGAGGGCATTAGAGACGATAGGCCAACATCAGTGGTTAAATCAATAGCAGAGGAAAAGCTTTCCAATTGTGAACGTACAAATTGTATTTAGTTTTGCGTATATATTCATTTTCTTGTCGGGAAAATTTAACTTTGGGGTTCTCTTCTTCTTTTTAGGTATGTTTACATCTAGTAGGACGTTCAGCTGTTTTCGCATTAGCGGGTGCCTGTGTGAATGGGTCGCTTCAAATTTTTCGCAACAATTCTTTTAAGCGGCTGTGTGCAGACGCTTTAAAGCTGTTGTATAAAAATAATAATAAAACCTTTGATTGTATTTTTATATCAATTTGTAATTCAAAATAACAGTTTCATGTCAATAAAATTAATAGGCCGGTGAGTAGAAATTAGTATATATATGTAGATAACAGTTATAGATAGTTTTTCGCTAACAATGTTAAGTTTGTTTGGGAACAAATTTTAAAGGGCCGAAATGCGCTGAAATAGTAACAATAATTTTTTTTTTCGTTTCATTACACATTCTGCTGTAATTGCACCTTTTATATGGTAAGTGTCTTTGGATTAATGATCGAAAATTACAATAGCATTTGATTAAATTGAATTAAATATAATTCTAAGACACTTTGATGGAGCTAACTTTCCCTTTAAATCCAAAAATTTCACAGTTAGTCCGCCGGTAAAATTTGACGGACTTTGACTAATTTATGCGATAGTTAGCAACCCGCTTTCCACCCAACTGTGACTTATCAAAACAAAAGCATCGAATGTTGACCTGTAGACTTTGTTAATGTTTTGACAAGCCACAGCTGTTCAGATGGAAGTTGGATGTGCTCTGTGGAAATCGGAGTATTGCATTTGTTAAAATTCCAACCGTTTCTAACGGATGGTCTGGGCGGAAAAGGGGCATTCAACACAGTGACTTTTGACGAATGGGGGCTCTTTTGGAATAGCAGTTCGCTTGGATTAACTAGGCTATTATACCCTCTTTCCACACAGTCTATTCGTGGGAATATGTTGGCATTTTTGAGAACTGTGAAACTCCTATTCCCACAGAGTACATTCACCGCCCGCCATCCGATAACTGCTGTGACTCAACAAAACATAACACAGATTATTGAAGTCGGTTCTGCGATACTAAAATATTAAAATTTAACTACTATTTAGACTGATGTACGACGCAAAAAATTAGGTTGTAGCAGATTTGATTGGCAGTGATTTTAAAGGAGTTTAATGATGACGAAATAAAATTCTAAACATAAACAACTTAAGGCCTAGTGCCTTTTCACAAGCGGAAAAGCTATTCTTTCTAGAGTGCCCAATTTGGTAAATGTCGTCAACTCCAATAAATTAGCAAAATTGGAATCCTGATACGTTTGTCTTGCTCGCACTTTCGTAAAATCGCAAGAGCAATGAATGGGTCAACAACGAAGTGTATGACACTTTAGAAAAACAAGAATATAAAAATTTGTTGGAAAAGAAGATTGTAGCGAACTGATTTTGCTGGTTATCTGCTTGTCCCACCAAATTTATATAAACATGACAATCTATTGATCAGTGAAAAAGGCACAGGAAGATCTTTATTCGCCGATTTGACCCTGGCCTAGGTCTTGTTCTTTCGCCCTCTGCGCACGGCAATATCAAAGTCCGAAGTCTGCTGCTGTCCCGTTATTTCATTGCACACGGCCCTTCGCTGCTGCCTTATATCGCCGTCTCTCTCTGACTCTTCCTTGCTTTGTCTAGTGCTCAAAGCACCACTCAGTTTCGCCGTACTACCATTACTACGAGTGAATTCGCCGCGTAACTGGTAGTCCACTGCTTGCATACGTTTATTCTGCTTGCTTTTTAATTTGTGGGGAGTTATTCAACTGTTATACAATTTTATGAGAAACATGAAATTATGATTTACTTGCGTATATGTTTAAAATCATTGAAGCTATGATGATTAGCAGCTTAATTTTGAACTGAACAAAAAATTAAAAAACAGAAAAGTTATAATTTTATTCATTTATTTTTTCCAATGTTCCTATGGGAGCTATATGCTATAGTCGTCCGATTTTGATATAATTTAAACCGTAAATCGGAAATATTTAACCATTACTAAATGTCGAAGGACTAAACAAAAAATTTAAAAACAGCAAAGTTATAATTTTTTTCAATTATTTTTCCGATTGTTCCTATGGGAGCTATATGCTATAGTATAGGCTCGTTCCGACTTATATACTACCTGCAATAGAAAGACAACTTTTGGGAAAGTTTCATGCAGATAGCTTTAAAACTCAGAGACTAGTTTGCATATAAACGGACGGACAGACAGACGGACAGTCGGACGGACAGACGGACATGGCTAAATCGACTCTACTAGTGATGCTGATCAAGAATATATATTCTTTATATGGTCGGAGATGTCTCCTTCACTGCGTTGCAAACTTCTGACTGAAATTATAATACCCTCTGCAAGGGTATAAAAATTCAGAGAACACGTTAAAATTTATTTGCACTTGCTGTCACATTGTCTGTTTGTTTTAAATTGTGAACATATCGTGCAAAATTGTTGAATGCTTAATTTGTATTTTGCTGGCTTTTTGTGTCATAGTTTCCAAATTTTAATTACCTACCCTTTCTAGCCCCTAAGAAAGGGTAGGTAATTAAAAGTGGAATATTTGCTGGAAGTTAATATTCATATGATATCGTCCGATTTTAAAAAAACCAAATCCGTTTTTCTGAAATTGTACAAAATGGTTACATGAGCAAGTTATTAAAAACAATAAAAATATAACTTATTTTAAATTACATATTCGTTTAATCCTGGAATAAATATATATAAATTTTCTTGGATTAAATCCCACATTTGGGTTAAGATTGTAAGCTTACCAAGAAACTGGCTCTTAAATTTAATAAAACAAAGTAAAAATATTTTATAAAGTTTATTATACAAATGTGTTGGTATGTTCAAAAGTTAATATAATATCTATATTAAACTGGTTGCTCAACAATCTGTGACATCAAGCACGCCTTTAAAAGCCTGTGAAGTGATCTCGTAATCCTCAAATTCCTTCTTTTTTGGTCGGCTTGTTCGAAAATAGTTTTTTTGTACATTGATGTTATACTTATCTTTCGATAGGGTGGCATTTCTTTCCTTTAATAAAAATTATAAGGATTTTGTTATTTATAAATCGTATACATATAGTTGTAAACAAGAAATGAGTTCAAAACAAAATAAATACAAAAAATAGATAAAAAACCAAAAAAAAGGTCCTGGGGGTTGAATCATGTTTTTGGGATATACTGTCAAAGTTGATTTAATCAATTTTGACAGAAGGTAAATACCAGTTGGACCGGAAAAGTCTCATTTTTAAAGTTGCAAACTTTTGACTGAACAAATAATACCCTATGCAATATACCCTTTAAAATACAAATTAAATAATTACTTTTTCTTCAATGTCCTTAGATTCCCGGGTAACATTTTGATTGATGTATGTATAGTTACTACCGATAACAGAACTATGAGTTCTATGAAGTGCGGACTTTAGAGTTGCCGGTGGAAGTTTTAATGAATCGATCACTGGGATTCTCCACATTTTAAGATCATCATTCCATGAAGAGTTTTGCAAAATAGTATCCGGTGTCCTAGTTTAAAAATGTAATGTTATGTATTAATAGTTAACAAGTAAAATTTGCATTCATCGCATAAAAACGAAAATGCAGAGAAGGAGACTGCTTCATACACTGACGAGCTAAACTATAATAAATGGGCGCATTCCGAAGGACAACATGATCACTGATAGATTACTTACGATTGTTGTGCTGAACGCGTATGATATGATAACTACTTACGAGGCAAATGTTCATGATGGAAGAACATCACCAAAAAAGGAGTATAAAATAAGGGCGGAGTATCAAAAAAGGCACAATAAAAAGTACAAATAAGTGGCCCAACGAAACCAAGCACGAACTTGTTACGCGCTGGATATCAAGTTTGCGAGGAAAATACAAATAACATAATATAGAGACATTTATAAAAAAAACTAAAACTAAGTACAGTGCAATTATGTTAAAATTAATTGTTATGTTAAAATAATATATTGATTATTATAATTATTACAAAGAACATGAAAGGGTTCATGCAGGCAAAATTTTATGTACATCTTGGTAAGTTAAGAGGGTGGTAGTTGCGGGTTGTTCTAAAGGGTACATTGTAAGATAAGTGGCTTACCAATTCTATGGAGACAATATCACCTCTGACAAGATTGTGCATTAAAATAATTTTGTATTGGGGACTCTAAACGGGAGCGTAATAATCGAAAATAGGACGGACAAGGGAATAAAATAATAATTTAGTTGTATAAGTCGTCAAAGAAAAATAGAGATAGGTATATATGGTGGTGAAAATATCATAAAAGTTTCTTAACCATTGATGGTGTAAGTTGGATCTAACCATCGATATTATTAATAGTGGCAATCATAGATTGAAAACCCTAATTGCCTAACCCTAAAAATAAGTCTCAAAGCTGGAAACTTTAGGGTTTTAGATTAGTAATCTGAAGATAAACTGCGTTCAGAATCACTCAGCTCAGCTCAGCTCAGATTTTGAAGACCTGTGTTACAGTTGTTCTCTGGCAAATAAAATTGAAGTACAAAAGAGTGCATCAAAAAAATAAATTCACATAGACACATCCTAACAATTTTTCGTTGTTTTTACATCTATCCCTGCAATGTAAGACCATACGCAAATGGTTTGCTCGGTTTCATAGTTATCCGATTTTTTTAATAACTTTTAAGCTAATGTATAGGTTTTTTATTTATTTTAAGAGCATGCATATCTAAGATTTCTGTTGAGGAAGTGTAGTCATTACAGTAATGCTATAAAAAAAGCTCTTACCAGTTTCTGCTATGTTGTCGAAAAATCGGTTGAAATTTATAAAACAATTGTTGATAAAACTTTATATGACGTCCAAGAATTCGAATTTCTTCCAAGTAATCCTCTCTATCCAACTGGAACTCTGAATTTAAGTCGGCAACTTCCATTTCAAGCATTTTTATTTTGGTTTTGCATTTTCCGATGTGATCATTTTTTATGCTTATTTCCTGGGCAATAGTAGCATAATGTCCCTGCAAAAGGTCGCGGTCCTCACATTTGACTCTGCTTAAAGCGTGGGCAATTGCACTTAAGTGGCGCTGTGCTGCAAATCTGCGTGCATTGTGCTGTTCCATAAGTTTTAAGTCATCAACACGTTCACCGCCAATTAAAGAGCGTTTGATAAAGTCAATACGACTTCGTGCTTGCAGTTGTAGCTCTTCTTGTGATTTTACAGATGAAAGACTTGGCTTTGTTGATATGGAGTTCATTGTTTTGGAAAAAATGCCTGCACTTTGGTCTGATTTAATTATTTGAACATCTTTTATTGATTTTGAAGGTATAATATCTAGTTTTACCATGGGTAATTCGGCTGGTTTTTTTTTTTCATCCTTTTCAAAAATTATTTTTTGTTGAGTCTCTTCGAGCATCTTCTTTAAATGTACAATTTCATTTTGGTATTGGCGAAGCTTTGCATCTTTTGGATCTTCATTAATTTTAGGTTTGTTTGAAATTTTCTTTGCTCTACTTGCATAACGAAGTGTAGATATAGTTTCGTCATAATTTATGTGTGATGGCGAAATACAAGATATCATAAGAGTTTTTGTATTACCTCCTAAGGAATCCTTTATTAAAAATACATAATTGGTAAACATTTATTTATTATACCGTTGCAAAAATATTATAATTTCAGACAAAAGACTGCAACGCAGGGAAGGAGACATTTCCGAACTACAAAGTATATATATTCTTGATCAGCATCACTAGCGATGTCGATCTATCCATGTCCGTCTGTCCGTCCGTCCGTCCGACCGCCCGTCCGTCTTTCCGTTTTAACGCAAACTTTCCCAAATGTTGTGTTTTTATTGTAGATAGCATGTACGTCGGATCGAGTGGGATTGTAGCCTTAGAAACAATATGAAAAATAAAAGAACAACATTATATCCTATTTATTTTTCAGTCCATTTGAGATACTGTTATGATTTGCTGGCTTAGAATAACGAGTTTTCCTTTTCAAAATCGAACAACGAAATCATACAGTTGCCATAGGAACGATCGAAATATTTTGTTAAAAATCGACATAGCTTCATTTTTTTAAACATATACGTTTTATTTTGTAATAGCTGCAAGGATATATACACTTCAGTTTGCATAAGTATGCTTCCCTTTATTTTTTCTTTAATTACCTGAAGTAGACGTGTAAGTTTTGAGTCTCTAAATGGTACATGCTTTGCTTTACCATCAACCAAAGACGAAATTACGTGTCCCAGTGCAGAAAGTGATAAATTAATTTTAGACGCTTCTCTGAGCCGTTCACCTTGAGCGCCAGTCTTAAGTTGTCGTTCTGAACCAGCAAGGTCAACTAAGCATAATTTTCCCCGACGAATTCCTCCTAAGTCATTCTCCGTTACAGCACTATTAAAAAATGGAGATTGTTCCAAGGTGATAGTAAATATAGTGTGCGAGCGTGAGCTTTTTTCATTCATTAATGTCGCTGCAGTAACGCGGTTTTTATTGCCCAAGTTTAACCATTCAGAGCATTGGTTTGCACTAATAACAGAATGAGTAGTCAACGTTGGTACTGAGACACCGACTCCTGGTATTTCTTTAAGTGAATGATTTATCATGCTGGTACTCTCATTTGTATTGAGCAAGTCTCGTATATTTTCATTGTAAATTTCCAAATAGCTTACCAAAACCAAATATCTTACATTTGTTGCCATTGATATTCTTTCAAATATATGTTCGAAACATTTAGGAATTATTCCACTGCTCTTGATATTGTTCCAATTTCCGTCGCCCTTATAATCGAAAAAAAAGAAAAAATCAATTAGTTTTGGTAATTTAATATGTTGGCTTTATAAAATGGTACGTATTGGGATTTGGCATGCAGATTCCAGTGTTTCCTAAGAAGGACTCTAACACTCTAACGCCCAAAAATCGTGAAAGTATGTACTGTCACTCTGAGACATGTTAGAAGGTTGGGGTTGATTGTTACTGTCGACTTCCGCTCACGTAGTGACGAGGATTACAGCAAAGTGTGCGCAAGGAGACTACTATATATAGCCGCAATATTAAAAATCAGCAAAAATGATTCCGATCTTAAGAATTAAATGGCAATTAAAAGGGATTCCCTTTAAGTATTTGTGCATACTAAGACTTTTAGAAAGTCAATTGGTTCAGAAAAAAAGGGGGTGAAAGTGCAAAACTGGGATTGATGGGATTTTCCCTTCTTTTTGCTCTTTTAAGACTCACCCCAAACTGCTGCACAAAAAACTGGGAAAGACTACTACCCACGCCGGTAACCTATAGAGCGGTCTAAGGTGAATTTTAGGGAAAGTGGACACCTGCCACTGTTGCTCTCCGATCGACATTTCACCCCTGCCAGAACCTTCTTTTGCCGAGCTCTAGATGGCGCTAATAGTACCTCCAAGCCGATTCATAGATGGAGCCAAAAATACCCTTGCAGAGGGTATTATAATTTCAGTCAGAAGTTTGCAACGCAGTGAAGGAGACATCTCCGACCCTATAAAGTACATATATTCTTGATCAGCATCACTAGACGAGTCGATCTAGCCATGTCCGTCCGTCTGTCAGTCTGTCCGTCCGTTTCTACGCAAACTAGTCTCTTAGTTTTAAAGCTATCTGCATGAAATTTTCCCAAAAGTTGTCTTTCTATTGCAGGTAGTATATAAGTCGGAACGAGCCGGATCGGACGACTATAGCATATAGCTCCCATAGGAACAATCGAAAAAGTAAACAAAAAAAAATTATAACTTTGCTGTTTTTTATTTTTTTTTTTAGTTCTTCGACATATAGTAATAGTTAAATATTTCCGAATTACGGTTTAGATTTCATCAAAATCGGACGACTATATCATATATCTCCCATAGGAACAATCGCAAAAAAATATAAAAAAAATTATAACTTTGCTGTTTTTTAATTTTTTTTTTAGTTCTTCGACATATAGTAATAGTTAAATATTTCCGAATTACGGTTTAAATTTCATTAAAATTGGACGACCATATCATATAGCTCCCATAGGAACAATCGGAAAAAATACAAAAAAATTATAACTTTGCTGTTTTTTTATTTTTTTTTAGTTCTTCGACATATAGTAATGGTTAAATATTTCAGAATTACGGTTTAAATTTCATCAAAATCGGACGACTATATCATATAGCTCCCATAGAAATAATAAAAATATATAAAACAAATATCTAATAATTGAGCTGCAAATCATCATAGCTTCAATGTTTTTCAACATATACGCAAGTAAATCATAATTTTAATGTTTTAAAAAATATTTAATTTTGCAATAGCTGCAAGGGTATATAAACTTCGGCTTGCCGAAGTTTGCTTCCTTTCTTGTTTCCTCTCTTGTTAGAGCAATCGCAACATTGGTTAGCTTAGTAACGGGTGTATAAAAGTTAGGGTAATCGACTATAGCGTTTCCTCTAGCTTTGCGCTGAAACTGGTGGTAGCCCTTTAATAATATGCGTTAACTCTTAAACATTTATTTAGGAATATGTTTGACCATCCGCTTAGATCACTTCCGTAGGACTTAGTATTTTGTGGCTTCCGTTAATACGAGTCCTTTTTATACTTAATGTTTTAACACTATTACCTGCATTGTGTGTGTTTTTCCACACCCAGTCTGGCCGTAAGCAAAAATGGTTCCGTTATATCCCTCGATAGTACTCTCTACCAATGAATAGCACATTTCGTTATAAATATCTTCAGTTTTTGTGATCATATCATAGGCACTATCAAAAATGAACATTTTTTTAGGAACGAGGCGAGCCAAAGGATTTATGACAGAAACGACGTAATCATTAATTTCAACAATGTTCTGAAAATAAAAAAAATTTTATATTATTTAATTTATATTTTTAAAATATTTAATATTTAAAACATTTCTCAGTTACTCTTAAAAAATACGAAAAGGAATGGAAGGAATGCACCGATAGCACTAGATAGTTCCTTACTCTACAAAACGGCAGCACCAATGGCTAATATGATATATAAAAGTTAATTTTTATAAATCAATAATATTGTATGATGTATGCGTTCATATAAGGAGCAGTCCATTTATTACGTATTCATCGAAAGGGGGGACGGACCCAAATAAAAAAAACATCAGCATATACATTCTTCAATTTCAAAACCTTACTTCACATTTACTTTCATTTTCGCTTCGGTTCATCGGTCGACATCGAACTACAACTTTTATATTTTCACTCATTTTTCTTCGTTAGGAAAAACATGTCTAATGTACAAAAGAACAGGTACTAAACTAAAGCTACTCGAAGCTTCAATGGGGTCTTGTAAAGCTTTGAATTGGAAAAACAATTTTGGAGGTTGAATGTGCTTGAACAAATTGTTAATATTATATATGGCTCTTTGGTATCGACAGGATAAGAAATAAATCAGCTGATTGCTGGTTTGAGCATTGTTAAAAATCAACGAGATTCTTAAAATTGAACAAAGCAATTGTTAATTTCGCCGCAAACTCTTCCTATATTTCCTTCTCAAAGGTCCAACAGAGCTTGTAGGATCTACGGCATTTTATAACGACTTAAAGTTTTACAAGTGGGCCTCCACATTTCCGAAGCTCAGAATTTCATGAAAATATTGGGCTGTGTGGGCTCACAACATCAAATTAATAAGCGTCAGAAAAATTGGGCTTCTTATTTTTAAAAATACATGTTTTCAAATCGTTTCGCTGAAATTTCCAAAATAAACAAAACATTCGTGTAAACACAAAATTAAATTCTGGGCAAAAATAAACAGAATAAATTTTGGAATTCCCTTACAACTGAATTCCTGAATTGTTTCCTGTCCTTACAGCTACTGTTCCTAAATATTACTAGCTTTGTTTGTCTTGGCTTTAGCTTGAATTCGAAGAAAGTTACCAGAAATTCACAAAAAAGACGTACTAATATATTTAATAACAAGCTATGGACTGTTTAAACTTTTTTATTTGCATATATATGGTGATTGGAACCCTGGCTTTTCAGTAATTAAACACAAATTAAAACAGTCTCAATGTTGCTGAGATGCTGAAAGCCAGCTGAGTTTTTATGGAACAGATTACCGAGTTTGAGCAACTAAGACATTTTGGCGTTTAGGGAATACCCAAAATATACATTTTCTCAGCGTTCTTCAAAACTATCAATAGAAATCCATTACTGATCAGTGATAATTTTGCTGGACGCGGTCAAATCAAATCAAATTGGCAACTAAGTTCTCGGTGGCAAATCTATCATCGTGAGCATCGTCCACTTCTAATTACCATCCATTTGGCTAAGGATCCTTATACCCAAAACCGAAAGATTTTATTAAAATGTTATATTTGAAAAATAATGCAAACACATCAAAAGGCATAAGAGCCCTTTATCTTGTGGTGCCTTAAAGAAGGCTATACCATATTTGTGAAATGCTTACAATACTCAAGTAAAATTTGAAATGAATAATGTAGGCACTTCAAATAACCTATGTATAGTCGTACCAATGTATTTTTTATGCTGTTGCACAGTGTTATTGGATAAATAGGAAATAAAGCGAATTGACACAAGGAGAACTCTTTGCAATTAAGAAATATTTTAATTTAAAATACTTTAATTGACCTTATAGCCCGATCCCACAGCGGACATCCAAGCTTAACGGTTGGGGTTTTTGACAGATGTGAAGATCAACTATTCAAAAGGAGTCGTAAACAGTAACATTGGCATGAGTGGTCTTTAAACTATATAAAAAGATTTTTTTTGCTTTTATTTCATTAAATACAAGAAAGAAAGCAAACTTCGGCAAGCCGAAGTTAGTAAACCCTTGCAGCTATTGCAAGAATTAAATACTTTTGAAAACATTAAAATTATGATTTACTTGCGTATATGTTGAAAAACATTGAAGCTATGATGATTTGCAGCTCAATTATTAGATAGTTGTTTTATATATTTTTATTATTTCTATGGGAGCTATATGATATAGTCGTCCGATTTTCATGAAATTTAAACCGTAATTCTGAAATAATTAACCAATACTATATGTCGAAGAATTAAGAAAAAAATAAGAAACAGCTAAGTTATTAGGTGTACAAGTAGAAAACCGCCGTTTTTTTTTTCATAGTTTGAGGCTTTATTGCGTAAAAATAGCTTCATACTGATTATTCAAAATAGAGAGCTCCTGTGATGGATTCTTGTTGTGTCTGACAAGAATCTTCATCCAACAGAGTCTTCAAAGCTGCATCTTCAAACTTTTTCACGGGACCCGACCGATCCTTGTCTTCCACGTCATAATCACCATTTTTATACCCTTGCAGAGGGTATTATAATTTCAGTCAGAAGTTTGCAACGCAGTGAAGGAGACGTTTCCGACCCTATAAAGTATATATATTCTTGATCAGCATCACTAGTAGAGTCGATCTAGCCATGTCCGTCTGTCCGTCTGTCTGTCCGTCTGTCCGTCTGTCCGTCCGTCTGTCCGTCTGTCCGTCTGTCCGTCCGTTTATATGCAAACTAGTCTCTCAGTTTTAAAGCTATCTGCATGAAACTTTCCCAAAAGTTGTCTTTCTATTGCAGGTAGTATATAAGTCGGAACGAGCCGGATCGGACGACTATAGCATATAGCTCCCATAGGAACAATCGGAAAAAGAATTGAAAAAAAATTATAACTTTGCTGTTTTTTAATTTTTTGTTTAGTTCTTCGACATATAGCAATGGTTAAATAATTCAGAATTATGGTTTAAATTTCATCAAAATCGGACGACTATAGCATATAGCTCCCATAGGAACAATCGAAAAAATAATTGAAAAAAAATTATAACTTTGCTGTTTTTTAATTTTTTGTTTTGTTCTTCGACATAAAGCAATGGTTAAATATTTCAGAATTATGGTTAAAATTTCATCAAAATCGGACGACTATAGCATATAGCTCCCATAGGAACAATCGGAAAAATAATTGAAAAAAATTATAACTTTGCTGTTTTTTAATTTTTTTTTAGTTCTTCGACATATAGCAATGGTTAAATATTTCCGAATTATGGTTTAAATACGCAAGTAAATCATAATTTTAATATTTTCAAAAATATTTAATTCTTGCGATAGCTGCAAGGGTATATGAACTTCGGCTTGCCGAAGTTTGCTTTCTTTCTTGTTGAATTTCACGAACCATTCTCGGCACGTTCTTTCACTGATACACGACTCACTTTATGTTGCTACAAGCATTCGACGCGCTTCAACAGCAGATTTTTTCGAATGAAAAGCAAAATCTCCCGCAAATGGCGCTTATTCGATTCAAATTTCGACATCTTCGAGCATCAACAAAAAAATGGACAGTGAGAATAGACGAGCGAGATGATGTGGAGTTCGATCCGGCTCGTTCCGACTTATATACTACCTGCAATAGTAAGACAACTTTTGGGAAAGTTTCATGCAGATAGCTTTAAAACTGAGATACTAGTTTGCGTAGAAACGGACGGACAGACGGACGACAGACGGACGGACAGACGGACGGACAGACGGACATGGCTAGATCGACTCGTCTAGTGATGCTGATCAAGAATATATGTACTTTATAGGGTCGGAAATGTCTCCTTCACTGACTGAAATTATAATACCCTCAGCAAGGGTATATAAATGGAACTAAGGTTTTATAGCTTATCTGAACTTTTAAAAAAATGATTTTTGAAAGAAGTGAAACTCCGGTTTACACAGAACACGTCCACCTTCCACCTTCCGATTTCAGCTGATCTTAACAGCTGTAGCTCATCGAAACATAAGCAAAGATGGATGACCTGTTGACTTTGATTTTCTTATTTTTAAAATACATATGTTTAGGGCGTGACAACGAATAATAAGGTTAAAGTTGGCGATAATAGGGACTTCTTGGAAAAAAGCAAAAACTTTTATTATATAGTTTAAATACAATAAAATTTGAAGAACTGATTAATGTTATTATTTAATATTTTATATATGTTTTCAATCTACATTAACTATAAATTTATCCATGTCTTTACGATTTCAGAGATTAACCATCAAAGTTTTCATTTTTAATTTGTGTTGATTGGATTTGACTTTTAAGTCTTCCCCTTGAAAAAAGCTTTTTTAATAAAGGAATTTAAAGCTTTTAGATCTCAGTAAATATAAGCTTTAAGTTTAGTTCAGAAATTTCAACCTATTGCCTTTTTTTTAATAAATACGAGCTTGCTTGGATTACGGTGATTTTTACAACGTTTGGCAAACAGTTTTTCAATAAATTTTAAACATCCTATTTGGGTATTTAACTTATTTTTAAAATATTTTAATAATATTAAATTAAAAATATAGATATTTACAAAATAAATGTTATACATATAAACAACAAACAGGGAAGAGGCAATAAATTATTTACAGTTATCATTTGTAAGAACTCGCCCTTGTTACAATAAAGCTTTAAAAATGTCGCGAATATTTTTCTGCGCATGTCTTAATTTGTTCTGAAGAAAACAGTATATATAAGTACGAAAGTATATGCGATTCATTCATAAAATACTTATACAGTTTTCTTACCGTGTTAAAGTAACGACAAAACTTTACAAAATTGTAGTAAAGTATATTATTGTGTCAGGTTTTTTGAATTAATATTCCAAAACAACACCCAAAAATATTCACTTTTACGCATTGGTGATAGTTAGATTGGTCACCAAAAGGAGCTGGATTTAAAGGTAAAACCATTTTGTGTGCTTAAAATTTTGTAAAAAAGTCCGTACTTAAAAGATATATGACCAACACCTTAAATTATTTTGTATGTATCTGTTTTAGTTATTTTAAAAATACAGTGTTTTTCAGCAGGATGAGACCTCCTATTGACTCGTGGAGTTACTATAAAACGTGGCCTCCAAAGTTCATCTTTCCCAAAATGCGTAATTGCATAATTGGAAAATACCAAAAATGCCGGAAAAAGTAAATAATCATTTATGCGGAATCACGAGCATTTGCACATTTTTCAAGCTAATTGCACCATTAATAAGTTACTTACTGAGCACCTTACCTGCACTTTCAAATGCACATAAATAACTTTAAAAAATTGCAATAAAATTGTATGTAAACATTTGCTACAAATTATGTTCTTAAATTCGTTGTTTCCCGCATTAGGTAAATTTCGAATTATTAATAGTTTATGGGTAGAGAAAAATATAACATTTATTATAAAATAAAAAGTAGAAGTAAATTGAAACACTGTAACCAATGATAAGTTCTGGGAAACCGCTAGCCGGACTGTATCGATTTTCAAAAAATATAATCCTCTATTTTGTAACAGAATCTGTTATTTTTTTTGCATTTAATCATAATCAGTTTTTAATTATAAAGCATCTTGTGACATATAATGCTAAAGAAGAACTGAAAAATTATGTAGGCTTTTATAGAAGAACTAGAGCGCTGCATGAGTTCACTTGAAGTGACAAACAAGACATTTTTAAAACAAGAAAGGGAGAAAACTTCGGCAAGCCGAAGTTCAAATACTCTGGCAGCTATTGCAAAAATTAAATATTCTCGAAAACATTAAAATTATCATTAACTTGCGTATGCATATGCTTAAAAACATTGAAGCTATGATGATTTGCAGCTCAATTATTCGATAGTTCCTATGCCAGCCATATGATATCGTTTTATGATTTGAATAAAATTAAAAGCGTAATTCTGAACTGTCACATTCCACATCAGTTCAAGTTGCGGCTTAGATAAAGCTACAAAGTGCAAGCAAACGGAGCGCATCACTTAGGAGCAAAAGATTGGACTGCGCTAGGCATGCCGTACACTTGAGCGGGTGGCTCAATGAGCCAGAGTAGTTTCCCTACGCCACATGGCCCGAGGAGGATGAGAGAGTTTCGCAGTGATGAAAGATAAATACCACTGCGTCGAGTCGGACGGAGGTCACCTACTTTTCTGCATTTGCCCGTAACTCTGTACGGGGAAAGCAACCAGGTGGACACCTACGCGCTGTTCGAGGGGTCTTCCGCAATCATGATAGATGAAGAGCTCATTCGAAGCCTGGACCTGAAAAGGGAGAATCGGCAGCTCAATATTCAATGGTTTGGTGGCCGATGTACAGTAATGCGGCACTTGGGAATACCTATGCATAATAGGAGTTTTGGAGCAGGAGGACAATACGCAGCCGCCACAAAGCTTGGATGGGTGGTGTTTGAAAGTCCCACAGCAGTACAAATCTCTGCCAGCCGTGCTCTTCCGCTTTCGGGAAGGAGCAGTCGGGGTCTGCGCAGATATTAAGGAGATGTTTCATCAGGTGTTGATAGAGCCCCAGGACAGATGCGCATAGAGATTCCTGTGGAGGAACAGAATTGACCAGCCAGACCCAGACTTATATATAGTGATGGTTAGGACGTTTGGAGCAGCATGTTCACCGTGCTCAGCGGATCACGTTAAGACTGTGAATGCTTCAAGGTGCGCCCATACAGATCCGCGGTTCTGGCCCTTTTGTAGACGACGACGTATATGGCTTCTCAGACGAGGATTTAGCTATTGCTGTATCAACACGGATAAAAGAAATTCATGCTAATGCTGGTTTCGAGTTGTGCCGGTTTTTTTCCAGTTCGGAAAGCGTTGTCAAGGCTTTGAACCCACAAGGATCAAGCGAGAATGTTAAATAGACCGAAGCTAAGGAGAAGATATTGGGCATGTACTGGCAGCCGGCGACAGATGACACAGCAGTGTGATGACTGGGCGACGGATCCCCACCAAGAGAGAATTCCTGAGCCTCGTCATGTCAGCATTTGACCCGCTAGAATTCTTGAGCTGCTATTTGGTGACCGCCAAACTGTCAATGAAGGAAATTTGGCCGCGAGCACTTGAATAAGACGAGCCGCTCCCAGATGAGTTAGCCATAGCATTTGAAAGCTGGCAGCTGGAGATGAGCTACGTGAGCTACTTCGGCGTAGGACGCGGGCGTGTGTTACATTCGAGCCAATCGGCGTTTGCCGTGGTAGTTCAAAACGAAATGTGCCCCGATGAGGACGATGTCGATTCCACAACTGGAACTCCAGCTGTACTGGGAACCAGGCTGATGTCGCACAAACACGCACTGAGGGAGATGATTGTCGGTCACTACCATGGGAAAATGAAACACGAGAACCTAGACGGGACCATTAGAGGGATCCAGATGAAGTTTTGGAAAAGCAATTTGAGGAGACTTCTACAGAAGGTATTTCCCAATTGTCAAGTATGTAAACTTCGGAAAGTGCGACCGCCATTGATGGCTCCCTTGCCAGAGAACGGTTGGTCATTTAAATATACCGTTATGGACTACATTTCGACGTTACAAGTGACGAACGGAGAAATAGGTAGGAGATGACCTGCGATTTGTCAAAATATTCCTGCATCATCGCTATGAGGAATTTTATATGCCGTCGTGAACCGGATCAGATTGGTGGAAGAATTTCATCGGAGCCAATCGTGAAGCCAGAAAGTTCGATGAAGTCTTTGAGCCGGAGAGGATCCAGGGTAAGCTGTCGTCTAAAGGAATCGAGTGGATCTTCAACTGCCCGGCGAACCCCTACAGGAACGGATGATCCAATGCGTGAAGAAGGTCCTGGCGCAGACAGTGAAAGAGGTGTCGCCTAGGGTGCACGTAATGGAAAGCTTTCTCATCGAGGCGGAGACTATTGTTAATTCTCGTCCGCCGAACGACCTGCTGAGAGGAGTAGCAAATGTTCCAAGTGTTTCTTGCAAATAGCCCGGATGGTGAGAGACCAATTCTGGAAGCGTTGGGTACATGAGTACCTACCCACGCTTGTCCGCAGGTCGAGCCAATGCGTCGTGGGAATCTGGTCTACATATGCCATCAGGCCGAAAATTCTAAACACTTTCCAGGGTAGACTAATTATACATAATTTTACTCTTTTAGAATTTTTAGGTGACGAGAAATCTTTACAGTGAATCTTTTAAGATTACATTTTTAGATATCGGATCCTGGTTTCGCAAGATCGTAAAAATTGCACAGTTTTAACAAACTTGTTAACTTTTTTTTTTTTTTTGAGTTTGCATGATTATTGATAAAACAAATATTCTACCAAATTTATTACTTTCTTATTCATATTTTATTTAAATTCTTTCCAAAACGACAGAGACAACCACGTGTTTCAATACATATCAACCCGATGCAAGTAAAGACGATAACTTTGTTGGTGGTCACTCCGGAAGTCTAATATAACAACACGAAAATGCATTGCAGCCGCCTCTTGGTATGTATAAAAGCAAGAAATTCTATATTAATCTTTCAAGGCACGATAATTTATGGGGGCCGATACGATTTAATAACCTTAAGACATAACATACAAATTTTACTAATCAAAAAAAAATTACAAACTATTTATAAAGAATTTTGCTACCTAGAAAGCAAGAAAATCACACTTTCTACACATCTTTTAGTAAATAAAAGTTTAGAATTTCTTTTATCATTTCATTTGTTTGGTGTTTGTTTTTGTTTAAGACTAGTTCTTGTTCGTATTCAGATCGACGAACAGTTTCTCCAGCGAAAAAACTGTATTCTTCCAGTGTGACCGAAGTTTTAAAAATTTACCGGATTCGGGATGCTTCGGTCTTACTGTCAATCAGCTGGGCTTGCTGACAAACAGGCAAGAGCTATAATTTTATGTTTAAAAACATCGAGTCTATGACGATTTTTGGCGATATATGAAATCGTTTTCCGATTTTATCAAAACGAAAACCGTAATTCTGAAATTTTAAGCCAATGCTATATTCAGAAGAATTAAAAAATAAATTAAAAACAAGAAAATTAAAATTTTTTAAAATTTTTTTTTAATATTCCGATTGTTTCCATGTGTTATAGCAAAGATTATATAATACACAGATGCGACATCTCATACAAAGAAATGTTCTGATTTGTTTGAAGCTTGATGATGAGGGGAAGCGGAAGAGGGGAGAAATGTTTATAATTAGAATTCGTTTGTAGGCCTTACACTATACATGACCAAACGTTTTGCATGTGCATGTGTGTGCTTGCGCTTCTAACTTTTTCGTCAAATTACAGATTTCACTTCATTTCTTCATTTAATTTAATTTCATTTCATTTTTTCGGCCCGTCCGTGGTCCTGATGGTTAAGACAATGATTCAATATGTTTAATTTTGTTGAATCCCTAAGTTCAAAGGCGACCGAATTTTTGGCTAAGGTCAAATCGTAAGGTCATGCTTGAAGAACACTTTACAACAAGTAAATGATTGCATCAGTGAGTGTAATGTGTTGCTCCTTAAAACTAATAAATGGGCTAATGAAAATGGACTACTTCTGAACACAAAAAAAGTACATGTATATATATATATATATATATATATATATATATAAGCCATTCAGTACCTCTCAATTTCAACTTTCGACTATTGACAATAGCAATTAAATACGAAGAATTTGTACTTAACTTGGGCATTACTTTTAACAACACATTGTCTTGAAGTAAACATTTTTCTAAGGCAGTAACGTAGCTTCGAGGCGGTCCGTTGTTCGTCGGTCTGTCGCCGCACATTTCACACAGCCTGTGCTGATTTGCCCGAAAATGCAATTTCTTTACTAATTAATATGCCAAACCTTCTCTGGCAATGCGACTGTTGTGTTGTGAGTAACGATTCTCACTCTAAAATCGGAGAACAAATGGAAGAGATTCGGGAGCTAAGAAATCTATACATGGACTTAAGTTCAAAGTTTAATAATGATTTTCCCTTTCCTGCTATTGGCAATAATAATGTCAGTCAGCGGAAAAACATTGGTGAAAGCTGCAGCACCAGCTCCTTCTACTTCCATCAAAATGAATCACAAAAATAATCACAGGAACAAGGGGCGCATTGTTGGTTTAGCCCCTAGTTGTGATCAATTCGAAGTCCTACTAAGCAACAAATTTCTGCATATTGGCAAATTTGCAGTAAGCACCAAGCCAGAGGCGTAGTGCGAATTTGTTGCTAATAAGTTGTGCGTAAAAACTGACCGTATAATTTGCAAACCTTTAATTAAAAAAGATGCAGATATATCAGCATTGAAGTTCATCAATTTTAAGCTGGGAGTGGCTGAGCAATACTATCAATCTGGGTTTTGCGATGAATTTTGGCCAGAAGCAGTAAAAGTCAGCAGATTCATCCACACGAATAGACCAATGGTTGAGGAAACCATTTTTGCGTTACACACTGATCACACTCCTATTTCATCAGCACCCAATTCAGATCCAAAAAACCACCATCTACTGGTTTGTGGTCGCAACAACAAAGGCTGGACTTGCCTATTGCCTTTATTCTTCAAAATTTTTAAATTTCTTGAAAAGCGCAAAGCTCTATTCACCGACAAATATCCAACAACACCAGCAGGAGCTCTCGTTGCTCGTTTTCTTCGACCCTCGCCAAACATCGGGTTCCATTCCTATTACGGATTGCGTGCTCTTCCGAGACGCGCTCTATTATTTCCATGCGCTCACGACAGCTCCACAAAATTCTCGGCTTGAGCTTTTAAGGTCCGCTTTGAGCGAGGTTCTCCAAAGTCATTGTTTTAATGTCAATGCTCTTTGTCCGCTCTCCGGAGTCGAGCTCCTGCAATGATGCTACAACTACAACCCTATCTGGAATTTTTACTCCCGCTTCGTATAGCTTTTCTGGGTTTGATAAGACTCTGAAAGTGCGTTTGGGATCAGCTGATGGATGAACAACAACATCGCCCGCTTTTATCGCTACGTTCTCTTAAATGGTTGCTTTCAGTTTAGAGCCATCGCTCTTAAATTCTGGCTTCTCTTTTTTTCGAGAAATCTAAAATATTTTGCGAATGCAGCGCACTTAATTCTGAAGATAAGCAATGGATTAAAGTTACGTGGTTACGTCTATTGGTCTTCTTATTGAAGACACCCTTCTGGATCAAGTGACTGTTTCTGGTATTGGACCAGTAGATGCGCTACTAATTCTGGCGGTTTATATACCGCCAAAAAGTACCTATTCTCGTTACAAGGCCCATCTGGATAACGTGACCAATATCTATGATAATCTACTAGACCAACAACATCTCTGCGTTATTGGTGACTTTATCCTGTCATTCCTTGCTTGGGCGAGAAACCCTGACGCTCGTTCCTTACTGCCAAGTAACTTGCATCAGCCACATGAGGTTCTTTTTATCGACGATCTATTCAGTATGGGCTTAATACAAGTAAATAATGTATTCAATGATTTGTATAAGCTCTTCCATTTAATAATCAATCAAGTCTGATCTTAAACATAATTTGATCGTTTCATACTAATTATTATACGTCACACATTCCTTACTTTGCTAAGTTGTGTTTTGTGTTTGCATTTGAAAAAACACAACTTGGAAACGAACCTTTTGATGCATTCCTGTAAATGTTCTTTTATAGACTTAAAGTGTCTGAGTATTGTGTAATCATGGTAGCTAATGAAAAAATGATTTACGAAAACTATATTATTTCAGATAAAGTATATACAACTTGATGTATTGGTCATACTGGCAACCATTAGGATTGGAGATGCAAATTTTCTTGGGACCCGCAATCGGGAAAGAAATTTGAATAATAACAATGGAGTAAAAACTGAAGAGTCATCACATATCGTAAATTCCGGTGGTGTAAGAACAGTTGGGGAAGTGTTTGTACCAAAAACATTTTCACTGAACTCACAGGAGCCAACATGCGAACAGCTTCGCGCCATGTGGATGTAAGTTTATTACTATCTACAATTAAGAAAAAGATTTTATAAATTTAAATTGTTAACGCATTAAATAGATTTTCCAAAAGGCAATCCCGAGCTGCTGAAATCACTAATGAAATACCAACATATCGGGATCCCTTTACTTATAATGTTTGGGAGCCTCTTTTTTTGAACTCACGAATGCTGGGATCGTAAGTATTTTTTTCCTTTTAGGACCAAACTTGAAAAAAAAACTTCACAAAAATGGTTATGCTGAATGCAAATGTGGTCATGCTCAATCGGGACCTACCGAATTACCTTCATTAAGTCCGCAATAGGGTTGGTATTGTGTTTTTATTCCCTTGCAGAGGATATACTACAATAATTTCAGTCAGAAGTTGGCTTTTCAACAAATACAATATACCCTTTTACTTATGCATTTTTATCTAAAAAAATTGTAACTTCTTTAATTGTCAATTTTTTTTTTTAATTCTTTTGGATACTAAAATGGTTTAATAATTTAATTTTAATTTTTGTTCAAATTAAAAACGATATCATATAGCTGCCATAGGAACGATCGAATAAATAGGGCGAAAATCATTAAAGCTTCAATGGGTTTTAATGGGTACTCATTTAATTAGAAATTTAGATGTTTTAAAAATGTTTTATTTTTGTTATAGCTGCAAGGGTATAGAAATTTTGGCTTGCCGAAGTTTGTTTTCTTTCTTTTTATACCCTTGCAGAGGGTATTATAATTTCAGTCAGAAGTTTGCAACGCAGTGAAGGAGACATCTCCGACCCTATAAAGTATATATATTCTTGATCAGCATCACTAGGCGAGTCGATCTAGCCATGTCCGTCTGTCCGTCTGTCCGTCCGTTTATATGCAAACTAGTCTCTCAGTTTTAAAGCTATCTGCATGAAACTTTCCCAAAAGTTGTCTTTCTATTGCAGGTAGTATATAAGTCGGAACGAGCCGGATCGGACGACTATAGCATATAGCTCCCATAGGAACAATCGGAAAAATAAATGAAAAAAAATTATAACTTTGCTGTTTTTTAATTTTTTTGTTTAGTTCTTCGACATATAGCAATGGTTAAATATTTCAGAATTATGGTTTAAATTTCATCAAAATCGGACGACTATAGCATATAGCTCCCATAGGAACAATCGGAAAAATAATTGAAAAAAAATTATAACTTTGCTGTTTTTTAATTTTTTGTTTTGTTCTTCGACATAAAGCAATGGTTAAATATTTCAGAATTATGGTAAAAATTTCATCAAAATCGGACGACTATAGCATATAGCTCCCATAGGAACAATCGGAAAAATAAATGAAAAAAAATTATAACTTTTCTGTTTTTTAATTTTTTGTTTAGTTCTTCGACATTTAGTAATGGTTAAATATTTTCGATTTACGGTTTAAATTTCATCAAAGTCGGACGACTATATCATATAGCTCCCATAGGAACAATAAAAATATATAAAATAACTATCAAATAATTGAGCTGCAAATCATCATAGCTTCAATGTTTTTAAACTTATACGCAAGTAAATTATAATTTTAATGTTTTCAAAAATGTTTAATTCTTGCAATAGCTGCAAGGGTATATGAACTTCGGCTTGCCGAAGTTTGCTTTCTTTCTTGTTAATCTTAGTTTACATAACTTATTACTCCATTTTAGCTCTTAACATACATATATCTGAATCTTAATGTATTCGAAGTTTTCAGGAGGTGTTAGGGACGTCAATCTGAGTACCGGGGTGAAAAAGGTACGGACGTAAAATGTACGCCGGTTATTTGAGTACTAGGCGCTCAAAATAACACTTTATTTTCCTCCCTGCCTCTGTAACTGCTAGTCCACTTTCTTGCAATGTGTACTCTATATTCCTTCTTTTTCTCTTAAATGTTTAGACTAAGGATGGGCGCAAAGGAAAGAGCCAGATCTCCAGTTTTTGGCCGAGTTGTTAACCGAGAGCCAAATACGCCTCAACGTATTCCATTTGAACACCATCAGAGATTGGTTGAATTCGGATCAAGTGGTCCCGGTGCAAGTCAATCCCGATATTATGGTGCTGAAACGCGTCCACAAACCGGGGCTTCTTCTTCATCACGTAGGTCAAGTAAAAATCGATACATGGGAGTCCCAAATGGCACTAGAACTAATGCAAAAGAAAGCCAAAATGCAGTTGCCATACAAGGCAGTTTTCAAAAGCTCAAAGAACTTATATGGACTGAGAGAGCTAAGGAGTTAACAGAGCAACGTAGAGACGAGGAATTGGAAGCTCGTGCGGCTGCACTAAAAGAAATTGCTAACGGAAGAAAGTAAGCCTACAGTTAAATTAATATAAGCATTTTAAACTAAAATACTTTGAATCAACAGCATACTAGGTTATAATCCTCAGGCCGGCAGCTCAACTGATTCTTTATTAATGGATGAAAATCGAAGCCCTGACGGAAACAGTTACCAGTACAGTGACTTAAATCATATGTCAATTTTTAATGATCAAAACTTTGAAAGCGATAAAACTAATAAAAATGGACATAGGACTGGTAGCAAAGCAAGCACACGACGCATCGGCAGTTCTCCTTCTTACAATAAAAAAGAAAGTCAAGCAAATAAAGAAGTAAAAAGCTTATTTCCAGGATCTAAAGGCATTGGTCCAGGGAACAGATCAGGACGCATTAAAATTCCCGCAACTGAGCTATATTCAAGCGATTCCACCGAAAGGGATCTTTCCGTTATTGGTATTCCAAGAACATACCCAATACGAAAATCGCATTTTAGAGAGCGAAATCGATCCCTTCTAAAAGAGGTAAAAATTATTATTTTATTAGTTATTGTAAGTAATTTTATTTATAAGCCAAAAATTAGTTTAATAATATATAGATAGATATATATAGATATCAACAGAAGCCTATTTTAATTATATTTTAGAAAGATGAATTCACCAACAACTTGAAGTGTTTGCTAGGTTCATAGGAAATTGGCCATTTCAAAACTGCTATATTAGAACTTGTGTGCTAGTACGATCTGATAGGGGCTAGATAAAATTTCACTTTTGTTTTATTGCCTAGTTTGGGGCTCTATCTAGCTATCACTATGTCTCGAGGTATATTTAAATAAATTGAAAAGCAGCGAAGAAAAAGTTTAATCAAGATAACGGACAGAGGGGCAGGCAGGCTACTTGTGATGATGATCAAGAACATAAGTACATATGTTCTTTTAAGGGTCGAAAATGTCTCATCCACTGCGTTGCAAATTTTTGATTAAAATTAAAGTAGCCTCTGCAGGAGTATAAAAACTGAGATGTTTATTCATGAAGAATTTTTCTTTCACATGATGATTTTTTGTATTTTATTTATTTACACCGGTGTTGCTATTATTGTATGATGCACTTTAATACCTTTGCAGAGGGTTTTATATCTTTACTTAAATGTTTGCAATGCAGTGAAGGAAATATTTCCGATCATATAAAGCAGGGGTGCTCACGCCTATGCACATGGAGCAAAATTGTTTTTGAAAATGCACATGCATATGGAGAAGTGAGGGCCGGCACATTGGTAGAATGCTGGGAACATTTTGGTAGAATTAGAATCTGCACACCAAATCCAAAATCTCAAGCTTTTATTGTTTCCGAGATCTCAACGTTCATACAGACTCTACGAGTAACGGGTATAAAAATAATTGGTGTCGTGAATTTTTAAAGTTTAGGTTTAATTTAATTTTGAGTGCAGTTAAACCTCCCCGTTATCTTCAAAGATATATCTTCACTGAGTTACAAAGTTCTGACCAAAATTACAAGACTTGTTTTAATGGTATATATAATAAAAACGAACCTTATCATTTTTTCCACATTAAAGCCTCAAGCCAATGATCATTTTCACCGCATTCTGAGAGGATTAACATGGCCTTTTAAAACAACTTCTCAAAAATTGGAACAAAATAAATTTACATCTTCTGGAAATGAGTTAAGCCACCGACTGGATACACTTGGACATTACAGAAAGCCGAAAGATGATAGTTACTATACACCCTTAGAGAGTTACGATCAATCAAAGGAACAAACACCAGAAATTAAAGATTTTGAGATGGTATTATACGACTACGACAACTATTGAAGAATCTGCGGTACCTTCTTAATCAACATTTAATTGTGAAAAAAATTTTATTTAAATTGAAAATCATCTAGTAATATTAAATCAAATTGTAAATACATTTGAATATTATTCAAAGAGTAAAGAAATTATTATCACTTTTATATAGACATTTTAGAAACTTATAAATTTACGACGAATTTAAAGGTCTTGCTTTTGGTTCTAACTCGGTTTTAAAAGTCCAATAAATTTTTTCTTGATAAACTTCTTATTAACACTGTGCCAAATATTTAAAGAAATTAAAAAGCATTACACATGAATTGTTAAACGTCTAGTCAAGTCAAGTCTAGTTATTCGTGTCTCTTTCTAAAATTTTAAAATTGCCCCGAATAGTAGAAAAGTTTTTCTTAACAATAATCTTAGAGGAGCCCATCAAACTAAATAACAACAGGGTTGTACAGGGTTTTACAACATGTCTAAATGTCTAGAACCAAAACCATTATCAAATGAAAGTTGCTTTTGAAATATAAATTTGTTAAAATCGAATTATTAAAACGTAAATATTTATTTGAGTAGAATTAATTATTAGGGGCATTTTATTAATTCCGGTTAACCGTTTAAAATTTTTTTAAACTTTTAAAAGACACCTTATAATAACTTGAACAGACCTGCACATTTTGGATAAGTTTTTTTGAAAAGTGCAAGATGACAGTCGCTTAGTGCAAAAACTGTATTCATAAAAATATGTATATTTTTCGAGAGGTAACATATTTATGTACTTAGTAATGTTACGTTTGGAATTCCAATAACAAAATGCTTCCAACTAATAACAATCAATTGCAAATAAGATATGAAGGGCTTGTTCAGTCAATACAATTTCAAAAATCACGTTATAAAATTGTTTAAATACTTAAGAATTCCAATTTCACGGAAGTACCTACATACAAATTATAAAAAACTAAAGTTTACTAATCATTAACTGGAAACATATCACGATCTTTAAGTAGACATTAATTTTCGGATGCATATTAATACTAAATAAACATTAATCAAATCTGTAGCCAATACTGGGTCTAATCAAAATCTTCTGGCTTTGGTCAACCAATTTTAAAACCTCAAGCTTAAAGAATAAACTGATATCATTATTTCTGGGAATTTTGTGACATTCCACAAAAAAAAAATAAATGTATCACTAACCTGCTCAACATCTAAGTAAACCGACGAATGCAATACAATCAGCATTAAACTATTCAAACCAACGCAAAATTAAATCATTCCATAAAGTATTGTTTTTCTTGAGTACGGCATTCTGCGTATTATATGTTATATATAATATATGTTATACAAACATATTATACACAATTTTTAAAACCGTGCCAACAATCCTTAATAATAATTTAGAGTAACACTTATATAACTCCAACGTCTATTACTTGGAAATCGCTGCAAATATGATGCTTATTATTATATTTATTCAATCAAAGTTTTAAATGTCGATTTTAGTTTTTCAGTGTGGTTTAAGCTAGTCAACTGAAACAAAAATCTAATGTATGCAAAGATGCATGTAAAATTTAACATATCGAATTATTATATAACTTTAATAAATATGTGAACTGTATTGGCATATTATTAACTATTGACATGTATATATTATAGTAACAAATACGTGTATGTACGACGACGTATGGTAAGATATGTTACGTCTGGAATTTTCTGAAACGCAAATCAAGTATTTTTATTGCAAACTTATTCAACTTCAAATTTGCTATAATTTAAGTGTATTAATTAAAGAATGTCTGCGTCTACCAGCACAACTTGTCAGAGATTAGCAATCAAGGGCACAATTTGTTGGTCAATATAAATATATACAAATATAAAAAAATGTTTTGTTACCACTTTCAGAGAAATTGTGCACATTCAAGCAACTGTGTTTAATTAAAGTTAAATTCGATTTTTAAAAATGTTAACTTAATAATTTTCTGATACAGTTCGACCCCCTGAATTAGGAAATGATAATTCGAAAGTTTTCTACTAATTACCATTTTTGAGATATTTGAAAAGTTTGGAAATAATACTTCAAATGTTTTATTGTTAGCATGTACATATGCTCAAATGAATGAAGGATCGCTTGCATTGGTTTACCAGAAGACGGCAAATTCAAAACGATATGCAACTCTACAAGCGCCATGATTTCTGATAACAAAAAAATATCATCGACAAGGATTATTGTGTGCTGGTAAACGCATGCAATATTTAAATATCAATTGTACTGTTCTTGTAGCGCTTGTATTGAATACAGAAACACAGAAAATATAGTTGTAAGTTCCGAGACAATAACTTAGAGTTTTATAGCCTAAAAATATACAACACTGACAATAAAATACTTTACAAAAACAAAGTGTTAAAGACTAATGTAAGTAAGCTATTAAAAATCATTAAAAAGTCCTGAAGTTGTCTACGCATGGTTGGTGTTGATTAAATCGAAATCGAAATATTAATATACAACTAATTAAGGAAAAAGTTTATTGTAAAATATGGTGTACATTATAAATTGTAACAAAATAAAATAACATATATTATATTGTAACTCATGGCAACTCCTGTTTTCCTGTGACCATTTTTAATAACAGGAAACAATTACCCTATCCCACAGAGAACATCCAAGCGGATTGGTATTTTTGAGAAACGTAAATCTCGTGTTCCCAGTAAAATTACAAATATAATTTGAATAGCATAAAAGATCGACAGACAAAACCACAAAATGCAATGAATATATTTTCTTGATCAGTATCACTAGGAGAGTCCATCTAGCCATGTCCGTCTGTCCGTTTCTAAGCAAACTAGACTCTCAGTTGTATAGATATCTGCAAAAAACGAGCCGGATTTAACGTCTTTATCATATAGCTCCCACAAAAACAATCGGAAAAGAATTGTAACTTCGCTGGTCACCACCAATGGCCAATCGGCGGCAGAGGTATGTCCTCTGATTATAAAATCATAGTTCGATTTTGAAAATTTGTTTCTACCGATAGATATGACCGAGACACACACTCAGAGAGGAAATAAACCACTATATATTATATATTGACAAAAAAAAACAGAGCACACGTATATGTTTTTTTTTTAACCAGACTCTGCTATTTTGATTATCGATTTCAAAACAACTATGGCCAAGAAATGTTTACAGGTAAATTAAAAGGGTGGTAGCCTACTATTGCTTTTTTATTTTCAGGATATAATATATTGTCAAATTATGTTTTTATACCCTAGCAGAGGGTATTATAATTTCAGACAGAAGTTTGCAACGCAGGGAGTGAGACCTTTTCGACCCTAAAAAGTATACACATTCTTGATCATGTACGTCTGTCCGTCCGTCTGTCCGTCCGTCTGTCCGTCCGTTTCTACGCAAACTAGTCTCTCAGTTACATTTCATCAAAATCGGACGACTCTTTAATATAATATCACTATGGACGACAGTACATGCAGTGACGACGCGCACGAAGAGCGTGTGCATAGGAGACTACTATTATATAGCCGCAGAATTGAAAATCTGATTTGATGGTCCGATCCTGACGAGCAATACACCAATCGAAAGGTATCGCTAAATGATACCAATATTTTAGAAAAATTGATTGGTTGAGGACTTACACTTTTTTAACACACTTTAATATTTATACAAAAGGTATTCAAAAATACTTTGTTTTGGTATATTTAAGAACACAAAAAGTTTTTTACATCGTTTCTCAATTTCAACAAATTTTAAGCACTTGTTTTAGAATTCTGGAATAACTTTTTTTGTGTTGGGCAGGTCGTTATAAAAAAAATTTGTTCCACGACTCTGTCGTCACTCTGAAATATAAAACCCCTGTGTAGGCAAATACCTGGTTTAATAGTTCGAAAGTTTTGATTAAAATCGAGAAACGATGTTATATAGCTTCCATAGGAATGATCGAGTAATTGAAGTGATAATCATCAAAGCTTCAATGGTTTTTAATGGGTACTCACATAATTCGAAATTAAGATGTGTAATTTTTGCAATAGCTGCAAGGGCATATCAACTTAAGCTTGCGGAAGTTTTCTTCCTTTCTTGTTACTCTGGATTTAATTTAATTTAATTTAATTTTTGAAATAACAAAAAGCATTTATTTTTCCTATTATTTTTATTAATGCGTATCAGTTTAATTAAAATAATTATAATGTACGCCCACATTTGGCACACTCATATTGTTCGGGACGTATGTTTGTCCAGGAGAGCATTTTAAGCAGTTCCGTTTTCGTGGTCTATGCTTTGATTTTGAACCATGGCAGTGCATTGCAAAACGAAGCTCCTGAGCCATTTCTGAGCACAGTGATTGATTTTCGGTATTCAAATTTTTTCTGGAGTTCCAGCAAAACTCGAATATGGCTACAACAACAGCAAGTGCAAGTCCACAGAGAAGAACAACAAATACGCCACCTTAAATTGAACGTATAACTTAATTTTATATTAAAATCTTATGAAAAAATCTTACCAATATTTTCTACTCCAAGTGCATTGGCTTTTGACTCCTTGCTTTTATCATCTCTGTTGCAAACGTCGCCCGTATTTTTCCACCATTTATCATACAGTATTTGAATAATGCCTTTTTCTTGTAGCTCCAAAATGGCAAGTGAAATTTTATCTCTCCAAGGAGAGCCCTTAGGTGTCGCGATACCGTAGCCCTTAGAATCCAGCAAGCCTCCAATTTGAGTTAGATTGCAATCACGTTGAACAGCATAGTCCAGCATGGTAGATTCCATTAAAAATGCGTAACTTCCTTCCATTACTCGTTTAATTCCATCTTCGTATGTCTTAACAAAAACAGCAGCTTTACGATTTTCCATATACCGCCACATTTTTTGATATATACCAATTTTAGAGTCCTAAAATCAAAATAACACGTTTTAGTAATATTCCTTCTTTACGTTATTGAGTAGTTTTGATAACATGCTTAACCGGCTTTGCTTACTAAATTTAAAAAAAAATCAAAATGTGATTATAATTTCATTAATAAACAAGAAAGAAAGCAAACTTCGGCAAGCCGAAGTTCATACCCTTGCAGCTATTGCAAGATTTAAACATTTTTGAAAACATTAAAATTATGATTTACTTGCGTATATGTTAAAAAATATTGAAGCTATGATGATTTGCAGCTCAATTATTTGATAGTAATTTCATATATTTTTATTATTTCTATGGGAGCTATATGATATAGTCGTCAGATTTTGATAAAATTTAAACCATAGTTCTGAAATATTTAACCATTGCTATATGTCGAAGAACTAAACAAAAAATTAAAAAACAGCAAAGTTATAATTTTTTTTCAATTATTTTTCCGATTGTTCCTATGGGAGCTATATGCTATAGTCGTCCAATCCGGCTCGTTCCGACTTATATACTACCTGCAATAGAAAGACAACTTTTGAAAAAGTTTCATGCAGATAGCTTTAAAACTGAGAGACTAGTTTGCATATAAACGGACGGACAGACAGACGGACATGGCTAGATCGACTCTACTAGTGACGCTGATCAAGAATATATATACTTTATAGGGTCGGAAACTTCACCTTCACTGCGTTGCAAACTTCTGACTGAAATTTTAATACCCTCTGCAAGGGTATAATAAAAGTTTTAATAAAAACATAAGGTGGTAGGGGGTGTTGTAAAGTTTTCTTTCTGTTGCAGGTTAACGTAACGAACCGGGTCGGACGACTATAGCATATAGCTCCCATAGCAACAATCGAAAATATAATTTAAAAAAAAATATAACTTTGCTATACCCTTTGAGAGATTATTATAAGTTCAGTCAGAAGTTTGCAACGCTGTACATTTACTTATTTTCTATTTTTGTACAATAAATACAAGATAAGTTTTTGTCAATAATATCTTAAATATTTTAATTTAACTATATTTACCCTAAAAAATGTCATTGTAGATCCACCTTCCAAAGTTCCATATGATATTTCGGTTTGCTCTGCCAAGTCAGAAGCGCTTTCAATAGGTGATATCATCCGTTCGACAGTTAAAAAAGCAGCTAAGTTGGCAGTGTACGATGATATAATTATTAGGCAAAAAAAGAACCAGCATCCACCAACAATACGCGTTGAGGTAGCCTAAAAAGAAAATTACGTTTTTAGCTTCATAACAATTCTTAGGTACAACCAATTATCGTTTTGATTTTAAAAATTTTAATTATTTGATCACTTTTAATTTAGCAAAAATGGGAACAGTTGCGTTTTAAACAAAATTGTCTAGTGATTCAAGTTAATCGACATTTAAGTCACCGTCGTCGTTTGCCTCGTCTTAGAACTGTCGTCTTTGGCCTTTTGCTTTCAATTCACTTGCTCGTCCCTTGGCGCGGGCTCTCGTCGTCACTCGTCGTCACTCGTCGTCACTCGTCGTCACTCGTTGTCATTCGTCGTCATTCGTCGTCATTCGTCGTCACTCGTCGTCACTCGTCGTCACTCGTCGTCACTCGTTGTCATTCGTCGTCATTCGTCGTCACTCGTCGTCACTCGTCACTCATCGTCGTTCTCGTATTCTTCTTATGACTTCCTGATATCTCTTTGAACTTGCAAACTGTTTAAATCTTATATTCTGTGCAGCTGCTGATATACACTCGTTGCAAATAGAATGCGTACACACACACATTCCCACATTCGACCACCCAGCGTAAGTATTCGTCTCTAATGCCTAGTTGTCGGAATTGACTGAAATATTGTTGTTGGTAGGCCACGGCTTCACATACTCTGCACAACTTGAAGATATACCAGGACCGTCGGAAATGCCTAGTTAATGAACATCATATGAATTATTCGACTTTACTTCTGTGATTTGGAATGGACCCAAAAACTTTGGTTTGCGCTCTTTTGATAGCAACCAAGTCGCCTTGCTTGTATACAGTTGCTTTCTTGCGACGTATGTAGATTGTATGATTTCTTGTTTTCGTTTTGCAGCTTTAAGATGAGTTACTTCGATTTTTTGCGCAGATCGTCACGTCCATCTCTAAAAGATTCTAATGTTACCTTCTCAAGCAAGTTCGAATGGTGTGGTATCGATACTTCTGGAGAACGTAGAATTTATGGCCTGCTGGACTTTACCGACGTGTTGAAACCATTTCATCGGATTGACAACACTGACTTTAGCCAAAACTGAGGTGATTATAGCGTCCAACCGTTCTACTTGGCCATTGACTGTTGTCCTCGCAGTATTTCAGGAAGTCTTGAGATGTAAGGGCTGCACCTCTATCAGAAACGATAAGTGAGGGGTTGCCAAACATCGTGCTTTGCTGTCGCAGTTTTACTATGATGTCTTTTGCTGAGGTTGACTTGGTGGGGTTTAATGGCTAAAACGGGCTTATAATCCTTGCTCGTATACCATCACCCAACGGCTGATCCTTTTGTTTAGATCCTTCTTCTGCATTGTTTTGTTAAATGCGTCGCAGTGTGAAAAAATTTGAAAAAATCTGCCTAAAAGATTGACTCGAAACTTAGAAACGGGTTCTACAACGGCTAGTTCAAAGCTAGGGTATTCTCTTTGCGCCGGAGATGTTTTTCTGCTCATAAAGTAAACAGCGTGCAGATGGCCATCTTCAGGAGACTTTTGCATCAGGAATGCTCCTGCACGTCTTGGTTAAAGATTCTTAAAACTGGACTTTCTGTTAAAATTTTCGTCAAGGTATCGATAGCAGCTTGCTCATGTATTCCTATTTCGATTTTTGAATTCTTCTTGGTCAAATCTGAGAGAGGTTTCGCTATCCTGGCTTAATTTGGTATGAATTTAAGAAAGTAGCCTAAGAATCTTTGAAGTTGCTTCAGAGTCTGAGGATTTTAAAACTTAAGAACTAACTAAATTACATATTTTTAAAGATGCAAGTTCTTGCAATATTGAATAAAAAGTCCAAAATCTAGTGAAAAGAGATGAATACTTAGCTGATCGAAATGCTTCTGAAGTCATTGAAATTGATTAAAATGTCATTTAAAAAATATAATTTAGCGAGATTTCTTACTTATTTCCAAATTATCTACAAAAACTTTAAAAAATCAAGAATTTTTTTGTCAATTTTTTTTGCTTAAGAATTACTTTTGGGTACCCTCCGGAAACGAAGTGATTCCTTTAAAAATAAGTTCTTTGATCCATTAACTACCAAAATCATCCGCCGATTTCGTACGGTTTTGCTTTAGTTTTCGAGAACCGCTGTTTTAAGTGTGAGCTTAATTTAAAGGAGAGGCAGTTTTAGAATCTACTGCAGCACACTGGTGGATTCAATGCCATCACGACTGAATACCAAGGGTTACCATAAAAAATTCAACAAACATTTTTCAGACTTATATGTCATTAATAGCCTGAATGTTTTTAGAAAAAATACTGGAAAATACCGATATCTAACGATATTTCGTTAAACATCTGGTCTTTATTTGCAATGATGATGACGCAAAAAAAAATACTGAAAACAAGAAGGGAACCAAACTTCGGCAAGCCGAAGTTTATATACGCTTGCAGCTTTTGCCAAAATTAAATATTCTTTAAAATATCTGAACTTCGATTTATTTGCGTGTATAATTCGAAGTTTAGATGTCTTTTGCAATATCTACAAAGGCTTATAAGCCCCGGCTTGCCGAAGTTTGTTTCTTTACTTTTTTTTTATGGCAATAAGAATTTTAACACAGCTATCAATATTTTCACACTTTTTCCACTTATTTAATAGAATATATTGTTGATCGTACCCTAGGATATAAATCAGAACCTTGTTGCATAAGCGCGCCAATGGCAAACCAAAAACTATTTTTTAAAGTGAAATTGTTTTGTATTCGAACTAAATCCACTGTATTATCATCCGATGCATCTTCATCAACATCATTTGAAGGTGGAAAAGGTAAACCATGTCCACATAAAGTATCATCGTGTTCAATATAATTATTGGATTTGCTTATTTTGTGGTCTGTGTTTAAATATACTTCTTCATCATGTTCTGATATTCTTTTTCTGTGTATTAATTCCAACTGTTCATCAAAGCAATTTTCTTTTTGTATTTCGCGCAATATATGGTCACAAGCCATTGAACAAGGTGGCTTTGAATTAACCCATTCGATCGGCGATAATCGAGCGACAATCCAAATGCAAATTGATACAAAAATATATCCGAATGCTATATAAAACCAAATTTCAATAGCAAGTGGTGATAAGAACGCAAAAAATTTCGTTTGAGCTCGATCTGAAATCTGAAATACAACAAAAATCAATAAAATCTTTTGGTAATAACAAAAATAACATACATACGAATAAATAAACCTTAAATTAATGACTCTTTAAATGCTTGTGATTATGTATACCTTGGGATTAAGTCCAGATCCTTGGCGTAAGAATGTTCCTGTTATAAACCAAAAACTGTTCGATACGGAAAACTGATTTTCCACTATATCCGTTTCCTTGTAGCATGGATGAGGGTTTTTCCACTCATATGGAGAAAATCGAGCCATCACAAATAGCGCGAAGGATACTAATATATAAGCAGCTAGCACATAAAGCCATATCTCGATTGCCAAAGGGTTCATAAAGGAGAACAGTCGTGTGGGCTGACTTGTCGGAACCTATTAAATTTGGCCACATATGTGAAGGGATTTTTTAAATTTATATCTACAGTTTAACAAATTGCGCAACACATAGAAAACTGAAGTAAATACAAATATTATACAAAATACAAGGTTTACCTTAAATAAGATTCCAATGCCCAAATTCATAAAGGGTTTGGTAAAATCAATAACACTCTCCCGCGCGTAGTTAATTGTCATTGAGGCTACAGCAAGATCGGCTCGCTAAGAAGTATTTTTTTTTGATAATATAATATATTTGTGACTATATTAATGTTGAAGTATTTTAACTTGCCCTTTCCATTAGTTCCTGCACAATTCCATTCCATGAATTAGTTTCTGGTATGTAAACACCGTACATATTATCGGGAACTAATTCAATTTTGTATTGAAATCCAACTTGTTGAGCGATCGCTTTAAGAAGATCAATACAAAATCCTTCAAATCGAATATTTCCTGTAAGATTTGCATCGTCTTTGACCATTACATATGGGCGCTCCTAAAAAATTACGGATGACGGTTAAGTAATCAAACAATGGTACAGCTTTCAGAAAACAAACCAATTTTATATACATATACATATAAACAAGAAAGAAAGCAAACTTCGGCTTGCAGCTGTTGCAAAAACTAAACATTCTTTAAAACATCTAAATTTCGATTTATTTGTGTATATGTTTAAAAAAATTTTTAGTAATGATATCGTTTTCCGATTTGAATAAATTTAAAAGCGTAATTCAGAATTAATAGCCTATTACTATATCCAAAAGAAAAAAGGAAACAAGAAAGGAAGCAACCTTCAGCAAGACGAAGTTCATATATCCTTGCAGCTATTGCAAAAATTAAATATTAATGAAAACATTAAAATCATGATTTACTTGCGTGTATGTCTAAAAGCATTGAAGCTATGATAATTTGCAGCTCAATTATGGTAGCTATACGATATCGTTTTCCGATTTTAAAAGAATTGAAAACGTATTTCTGAACTGTCAAATTATTAATAAGTCAAAAAAAAAACTTTTAAACAAAATTACTAAATAAAATAGGTACGTTTCCATGGAAGCTATAGTTATATTCGTCCGATTTTGATGAAATTTTAACCGTAATTCTAAAATATTTAACCTTTACTATTTGTTGAAGAACTAACAAAATAAATTTAAAAACAGCAAAGGTCATGGCTAGATCGACTCTCTTAGGCTGATCAAGAATATATTTACTTTATAGGGTCGAAAAGGTCTCCTTCGTTGCAAACTTCTGACTGAAATTATAATACCCTCAGCAAGAGTATGAAGAAATTATATAAAACAAAAATATCGTCAAAACTCTACATACAGAAGACGCAGTTTCAAAATGCATACTAGAGTCGTTCGATCAAGTCCGCCCAGATTTATTACTACCTTCAATGGAGTGAAGTTTTTGGATTTCATACAGATAGCTTTAAAACTGACAGACAAGTTTGTGTAGAAACGGACTTGGTTAGATCGACTTCCCTAGTGATGCTGATCTAAAACATGAATACTTTATAGGGTTGGAAATGTTTCCTTCACTGCGTTGCAAACTTTTGATTGAGATAATATTACCGTCTGCCAGGGTGTAAGAACACACATTGAATACACATTACACATAGCACCTGCTAAATAAATAAACCATTTTTTAAACTAACCTCTCTTGTCATGACGACCAACGTTATATTTGCTATGTTTGAATCATAAAAAGCCGTTGGGTCAGATATGTTAACACCACCGTCGGGCTGCCAGTATCCAACTTTTTGTATATTTTCTTGCTTCAATTTCAGAATGTCAAGTTTAAACTTGTTTCGGCGACCTTCCACAAAGTTAACATTCCCGGTCAAGCCGTCTGTAATGGCCTGAAATGCAAAATAGATTTTTATTGTAAATATTTAAAATACTATATATATTTATATATATGTAAGTAGTGTTGCTTATCACTTAGAAAGGTGATTTCTTACCTTACCAATGAACCATAGAGCCACCGACCACATTTTTTGCCAAAACCCATTTTTTAAAAGTCGGTAAATATTTTTTTTTATCGCAATGGATAGGAATAACCCTATTCTTAAATGTTGCAAACACAAAATTTTAACAGGGAGCATAACTGTTAAGCTATCAGCTGTTAAAGTCAGCTGTTGGTGCAACTCGAAGCGAGTTCCAAACTTAACCTAAAAAATAATTAAAGAAACCAATTCAAGTGCAATTTTTTGGCATGCAGTCCAACAATAGCGGTTTGTATATTGTGTTTGTAAACGTGAATTGTAGATATTGATTGTGGTGTTCCTGTAATCTTGTGAAAGGTATAACCCCAAGCTAAAAGCTTGTAGTGATTTGTTATTTTTAAATACAACAAGTCCAGCTGACTGACAGTAGGACCGTAAGAACAAAACTTCGGTCACACTAGTCAGAATAAACTCTACACTGGCGTAACTGTTCGTCGATCTGATTTCTAGTAAAAAATGCCATAAAGGTTACTTACTGAATTTATATGGTTGTACAACGAAATACCGTCATCCCAGGTTCGGTCGGAGGTGCAGGAGAGGTTTTTAATAGAAAAATTTGGACGATTATCTAAACTTAAAAAGTGTAATCCATACGCAAACGCGTATACTGAATCAAACATTAAAGCAGATTCTGTCTAAAAAAATGCCAAAAATTAAAACGTTTTGTTTCTAAAATATTCATTATCCCTTTACCTGTATGTAAGGCATTCCATTTACATTTTCCAATCCATTGTGTTGAAGTTTTTGCATTTGGTCTATAACTTCAAGATATCTTTTGCTATCGACATCAACCAATCGAAACGCAGTTATGTTTACGCTGTTGTATCTGAAATCCTCTAAGTCATACGTTTCCAAGTCCTGATAACAAAATTATTTTGTTATTACTTAAGGCGAAAGCAAAAGACTATTAAGCATCGGCAAGCCGAAGATATTATACCCATGCATCTACAACTTAAATTGAATATCCTATATGAATCCGAAACTGTGAAATAATAATATATATTTGAGTATATGGGTGTATGTTTAAAAGTAACGAATAAAGAATTTTTTCACTTCTTTTCGCATTAAAATTATCCGATTCGGTTCGTTCAGTTTTATAGCCTACCGACATAAAAATAAAACTTTTGTGAAAGTTTAATCCAAATTTATTGCTTTAGGCTAGTTTATAAACCCTTAAAGCTATAACAAACATTAATTTAAAATGGTAATTCCTTTTCCGTTCCTGCTATTCGTATTATTAATAATGTTAGTCAGCGCAAAAAATAATAAAAACTTTCCCAAAGTTGTATTTCTATTACAGGTAGTACAAAAGTCGGAATGAGCCGGGTCGAACGACTATGTCATATAGCTCCCATGGAAACAATAAAAATATTATTAAATTATTATTATTATTATTATTATTATTATTATTATTATTATTATTATTATTATTATTATTATTATTATTATTATTATTATTATTATTATTATTATTATTATTATTATTATTATTATAATTTAACTTTTTTATTTTGTAATTTATTTTTGAAATTCTTTTTGGTTAATTAATAATTTGACAGTTCAAAATTACGCTTTTAATTTTATTAAAAATGGAAAACGATATCATGTAGCTGTCATAGGAACTAACAAATAATTGAGTTGCAAATCATCACAGCTTTAAGTAAATCATAATATTTAATTTATTTAATATTTGCGATAGCTGCAAGGGTATATGAACTTCGGCTTGCCAAAGTGTGCTTCTTCCTTTCTTGTTTTTTTTTTAATCGCGTTGACAAATATATAGTATAAGAAAATTCTGTTTATCTTACAACTAAGGTAAGCCAATTTGACCCACTCAGATAATTACATAAAACTAAACTTAAGTATACAATAATTTAATTTTAAAACACTTTAATGTATTTGAGTACTTACAAATGTTGTAAACATATAGTGGTATCGGTGATCATTCATTTGCAGTTGTAAAATCTAAAAAAGTTCAAACAAAATTGGGTTTTGGTATAACGATACATTATTATGTAGGTTTATTATGTAGCTTAAATGACATAATCAGAAAAAAATAGTAAAAATGTCCTTTTTTTATTGTTGAACATAAAAACACTAATCGAAAAAATCCAGAATTTATATGATTAATTTGTGGATCGTTCTTTTAAGTTTTAGAGAAAAAGATTTTTTTTAACCGTACTATGAAATTTTCCTTTAGGTTCACTCGCACGATGCTTTTAGAGATTTGTCTAAGTGGTTTGAGAAAGCAACCTTTGGTCAGCCAAAGCTTAAGTACCCTTGCAGCTATTACAAAAATTGATTTTTTGCTAAAATGTCGTTGTCCGAATTAAGAAAAAGTATAGTAAGACGAAATTTATAAGTATAAATTTAAAAACAACAAACTTCTAATCTTTTATACCTATTTTTTTGATTGATCTTATGGGTCATATACGACTTGCAATGAAAACAGGCTTTTGGGAATGTTTTATCAAGGTAAATATGTCTAGACCGACGACTGTCCTAGCAAAGCTGATATTTAAAGGGTCGGATTTGTCTCCTTCATTGCGATGCAAACTTTTAACTGATACTGTTACACCCTCTGCAAGGATATAAAAATAATTAAACCTAAACAAAAATACCAAAAAAAAAACCGTGAACGCCACAGCCGATGGAGCTGGTATAGTGAGAAAAAATTTACCAAAAATCAACTTAAATCAAAAAATCATCTTACGGATCTAAAAAAAGTTTTTATGTGTAATGGATTTGTGTCCACTATTATTTTGTAAATTTCCTTTTGGCGGATTGCTCGCAAAACTTGACGATAGGACTCCGGACTGGCTTGCCTTATATACATTTCCGCTTTCGTCTCAGTTGATGAGTGCATCAAATTAAAAAGTCCTAAAAAGAAGTGTAACAAAATGTGAGCAAGAAAATTTATATTTAATGACGAGATTAAATCAATTAACTGTCGTGTAACGTACAAGAAAGTACTCTTTCTTCGGAAAAAATGTAATTGATTCACTAGACCCTTTTTTTGCTTCCATTATTCCGATGAATTATGATGCATCGAAGTAAATTTAAAACAATTGAAAAACAGCAAAGTTGTTTTTTTTCATATAATTCTCCGATAAGTTATCTTTCTGTTGCAGAAAGAAAACAAGTAAACTTCGATCGTTATAGCTACATAAAATCGTTTGAAATTATTTTTTTATTCCGATTGTTTCCATGGGAGCTTATAGCATAAAGCGGCCGATCCTAATGAATTTTAAATTGTAATTCTGAAATATTAAACCAATGCTATATTTCGAAAACCTAGAAAAAAAATTAAAAACAGCAAAGTTATAATTTTTGTTTATTTATTTTTTCGATTGTTCCTATAGGACCTATATGATATAGTCGTTCGATCCGGCTCGTTCCGCCTTATATACTACCTGCGATAGAAAGACAACTTTGGGAAAGTTTCATGCAGATAGCTTTAAAACTGAGGGACTAGTTTTCGTAGAAACGGACGGACATTGGAACAATCGATGAAATAAATGAAAAAAATTAGCTGTTTTTAATTTTCTTTTTTAGTTCTTCAACATATAGTAATGGTTAAAGATTTCAGAATTACGGTTTAAATTCCATAAAAATCGAACGACTTTATTATATATAATTTGCAAAACGTAAAAAAAACACCACATCTTCAAGTAAAAGCATTAAGTATTTGTGTATCGCTGGTTAAATGATATTTACCATAGTCTTCTTCATAAATAATGGCAACCTTTGTCCAGTTCAAGTAGACCATTATATCTCTATAGGCTAGAGTTAAGAGAGTGTGTGATGGATACAAGTTGATGGAAAATTCCTTGGAATTATATTCAAGATCAATTCGAACTTCAATGTGGGGTATATCATAAGCTTCGCAAATAGATTGTACATGGCCAGCAAGAAGGGTGTCTGTTGGGCCGAATATGGCTTGTACTCCTGCTTCCAACTGCCGGCAAACCTTTTTGGTGGTGCGAAACGAGTCATCTCGAGGAACATACTCAATATCGTACACAAGTTGTGTATTGGGAAGAAGAGTTTTTTCCTTGTTAATGCGGTAAATCGCGTATTTAAATGCGGATTCGATACTGCTTTCACGCTCATCTTCGGTAAATATAGCACCTATTAAAATGCACTGTGATAAGTTCAAGTCGGAGTAATTTCATTATTCACTTAAAGCTTACCTACGCGTATTACGGGGGGCAACGCATTCACAATTATGACTATTGAAAATATTATGTATGAGAGACATACTCTGTTAAGGGTATATCGATCTATTATGTTTTCCCTTATTATGGTTTCCCTTTTTTTTCGTATCTAATAAGCATACAAATAAAAAATTGAATAAAAGGGCCGAAATCTGCCTTACCATTATTTGGTATGGTATATGTTGTTACATTACATTCCGACACCCTTGTTTTAGCATTTATAAAGTGTAGGCACAAATGTTGTTGTTAAACACATTAAATGTAAACATTTAAAAGTAAGTGCTATGAACTTTTTCATTGAATCATTAATAGCACTTCTTGGCTTCATAAAGCTTAAAGCTCTATAAGCTTTTACGGGGTTGGTTTTGCTGCGTTTTCGTATTCCTGTTGGTTTTCAAATAAAAGTTGTTATCGAGCTGATATCTAAACAAATTTCATACATTAACTTTTGCCATTATGAAAAGTCTTTAAATTTATTATGCCAAAGAAAAAGCAGGTGACCCGACTTATCCGGGAGAAAATCACTTGGCTCAGAATGCGAACTAGTAATTTTGGATTTTTAGATTAACAATTGTTTATTCACATGACTAGATATAAGCATAGCGAACAGTTGAACAACATGATTTGTAAAATATAGCAGAAAATCAATTTATAATAGCATGGTAACATTGCTAACTAAATCATTAATAATTAAACAAGGGAAGAAAACTTAAAAAAAAAAAGCAGATAGCACTAAAACTGAAGTTTGCGTAGAAACGGACGGACAGAAGGATAGACGGAAGGACGTACGAACGAACTGACGGACAGAGTCCCATTCGGACACACGGCCAAGGCCAGATCGACTCTTCTTGTGAAGAGAGCTGGACGACCTACAACTTGCGCGAAAAGCACTCATATTGATGGGGAAATCCACCAGAAATTAATGGATCGGGTGATCACCACAGGTCATCATAGGCCAACATCAGTGGATAAATCATTAGCAGAGGAAGAACTTTCCATGTGCGAATGTTAAAATTGTATTTTGTTTTTCGTTTATATCCATTATGTTGGCGGCAACTTGGATTTTTTTCTTCTTCTTTTTTTTTAGGTTTGTTTACTTGTAGTAAACCGATCAGCTTATTTTCGTCCAAGTTGGCAAACACCTTGGTCGCATTATGGATGTCCTGTTGATCTTTAAAGAGCTGAGTAAACTCACTTAAATTCATTATTTTTAATAAATTTCTTTTGGATTTGCCAAAATTCAAAAGTAAACAAATCCAGATCAGCTGTTCGTGTCACATGTCGGAGTAGCATTAGCTAAATGCTAATGGGCCAATGAAACCAGGCGCATTTAAAAAGTCCTCTAATGAGTCAATGGATTCAGGCTAATAGTTATAATTTGATAGTTCAGAATTGCGGTTTTAATTTAATTCAAATCGGAAAACAATACTGAAAAGATATTTAATAAAATTTCTAAAAAGTAATGCTATTAAATAAACAATTCATTCATTGACGGATTCATTGAACCTAGAGACAGAGACAACTATATGAAAACTGCTTGAGATTTTGTTGGTAATAAGTTCACGGTCACACTGCCTTTTTAAGGTTAAATTCAAACTATTCAGTTGTTACCTTTAAATGGTAATAAATAATTTGTATACATTTAAGACTCGTTTTATTATTCCGTTTTGTCGTCAACTCCAACGAATGAGCAATATTGACTGGTATTTTATCGAATGGTATTTTTTTACCCAATTTTACCCAGAGAGCAAACAGTAGTTTTCTGGTACAGATGGACCCCTGATTTATAGCCGGATGCCATTGCGGCGTTGTAACGTTATTTCCACAGAGGTTTATCCACCTTCCACCATCCGTTGAAGGGACGGTCCATAAGGTTTTGCCGTTCCAAAAACTTCCCAGTTAGTCCGCCGTTAAAATTTGACGGACTTTGAAGGACTAATTTATGCGATAGTTACCCGATGTTTCTGCGGTGCAACCCTCTTTCCACGCAGTCCATCCCTGAAAAACCGTTGGGATTTTTGAAAAAATTAAACTCCGGTTTCCACAGAGCACATCCACATTTCACTTTCCGATTTCAGCTGATCTTAACAGCTGTAGTTCATCAAAACATAAATACAGATGATTGGCTTGTTGACTTTGTTTACGTTTTGACAAGCCACAGCTGTTCAGATCAGCTGAAATCGGAAGGTGGAAGGTGGATGTGCTTTGTGGAATTCGCAGTTTCACATTAGATGAAAATTCCAACCGTTTCCGATGGATGGACTGTGTGGAAAGAGGGCATTTTTAAATGTGCCTGATTCCATTGGCACATTAGCATTAAGCTAATGCTACTCCGACATGGAAGTGGCACGAACAGCTGATCTGGGTTTGTTTACTTTTAAATTTGGAAATCCAAAAGAAATTAATTAAAAATAATAAATATGAGTGAGTTTACTCAACTCCTTAATGCTCAGCTGATGCTCTTGTTTGATGGGTTTGCAAAGGAGGCCACCACAGTTTATAAAAATGCCAAGGATCCCCGTATATGTGAGAGTTATTAAATGCCAGAGATACAGCAGTAATGCATTGGATTTCTACGAGCAGAATTTGCAGCGTGCGTTCTAGTTTTTAGTCATTTTTATACAAAATAAATTTAATATTCGAAAGAAATCAAAAATTGCGCCACCTTACATATATAAAACAGCTGTTGTAGTGGTGGCACGAACAAAATATCGTTATACATCGCTATTTACCGGTATTTTTTCTAGTGTTATCGCATTTATTTTAATGCGGCACTTAGCCTTTTAGGATTTCCTAAATGCGTTTCAATGCTCCAATGGAATTCGGCTATTAAAAAATTAAAAATCTGAGATTTTTTGGGCTGCTATCGGCATAGTGCCATTTGCAGATGTAAGCAAAGACAACAGGGTCGAAAAATACAATTTTCTCCACCAGAAAATTCCGTTTGAAATAAAAATATAACTAAAATTCTATCAAAATAAAATATTAATTTTGGCTTTTAAAAATAAACCTTAAATGCAAACAAAAATATCGGCAAAAATTAAGTGAAAAGACATTAATTAATGTCAATTATGTCTTATGAAAAAATTGTGTTGAATTTTAAACTTATTTGACACATGCCTCCTTTTCTAATTTAATAAAAAAACATTATTAAAAATAATTGTATTATTATAACACGACTTTCTAATATTTTCATTTATTTTTTCGATTAATTATTATAAAATACTTGGGAAGTCATTTTAAGACCAGTCCGCAAACAAAAAACTGCTAAACGGTTCCAGCTTGACTGCGTAGCCCTGAGAATGTTGGTATTTTTTAGTCCGATTTAGGCAAAAATCTTTTCTACAAACGTATCTCAAAATGTCGGATAAACATTACCAGGATAGAAAGAACTTTAATTAAATCTAAAATAGCGTTTCTATACGTTACAATAAGCATTTTTACTGTGAAGAAGTAAGAAACAAAGTAAAGAAACTTACTATTGATTTTTCCTGACTTGCTAGTGTCAACAACGAATATATTTTATTGACTTAAAAAACATAATCTGGGAATTGTATAATTGTTTTTACGGCATCTGTTAGATTGTGTATCAAATAGAGCGCTTTATAAGAATCGGTATTGCAATTCATAAACAAAAGAAACGAATACTGATTCAATCCATTGCAGAATGTGTATCTCATGGATACAAACACATTAATCCTATACTATTTACATACGTACATATGTATTTTGTATGTACACACTGAAGATTTTTACATACATATGTATATGTATGTACAAAATCATATCCAAACATGCAGTTTAACTAAAATTGTAAAACGAGCAAAGTTTAACGACTTGTACAGAACACAATTAGCATTTTACTCTAAAATGAAACTATACTTCTTGCACTTGCAAAGGGTATTATAATTTAAGTCAGAAGTTATAAAAACTTTTCCGACCGCAAAAAGCTTAAATGTGAATGTGAATTTTTGTTTTTGATCAGCAATAACCAACAACGATCTTGTCGATCATTTTTTACGCAAATAGTCATTAAGTTTAGAAACATATTTCACACATCATCCAAAACTTTATCGGCCTACACAGGAACTCCAAATCGAACTTTTTTAAGTTCTACGAACCATTTGTACTTTTTTATATGTAGTAATAAGTTGCTCCTGATTAAAAGTATTTTCAAAATTCGAGTTATTTTAGGAGATTTAGCCGATTTTGTGACATGGCTTCCGAACAATTAGAATTGTTTCGTAAACTTTAAACGCGTTTTCTCGAAACTTATTTTTTATTGGTGGTTGACATGATATCTCAAGTTCTACTGAACAGATTCCTTTGAAATTTTGAATATATTTAGTTTTTACAACTCTCGGACTTCAAAAAATTTTGAATATAAGTATTTTTAAAATATTTGAAAAGGTCACTACAAGGGTTGAAATCATGTCAATGTCGTCGAATTTATGGTGATTTTTTCTTTTTTTATATTCTTGAAATGTTAATTAAAAACATTTAAAAAACGGATACTAGAAATGTTTTTCGTTTGTCTTTATCTTACCTGAAAAATGCGAAAAATGCAGCCTCTAGCCCAGAGTACCCTCTTAAGAGCCGTTCCAATGCGATGATTTCGACTGAAGCGTCTCCAGACATAATCGATATCCAAAATTTTAAGTCATGATTAGAAAACAACTTTAAAAATATTTGGGAGTCCATATACTATCGACAATGTTGGGGTTACCTAGATAATTATACCTAGGTACAAACTTAAACCTACCTGGGTTAAAAAGTGTGTACCGATTACCTTACACGGTTATTAGAGTTATAAGTTTCAGAGTTCTCGACGTTCATACGGACGAACAAACAAACATGGCTAGATCGACACGGCTTTTGATCCTGATCAAGAATATATATACTTTATAGGGTTACTTTGTGTGTGCCGACTGCGGTTTGATACTGTTTTAAACTCTTATAAAAACAAATTTATTTTGCAGGAAAAATATAATATTTGGCTCCAGTTTTTGAAGAGTTTCATCGTTAACCATGATTGTACAAAACCAACTAGGTTGCATTTACCTTATGGTAATGTTGTTTTCAATGCTGGCTGCTGGAGTTGTAACATCAAGTGAAAATGAGGATGAATATTTAACACAAAAAGGTATTGTATGCTTCTTTTTTTATAATAACCACTCACACATAATATAGTTTAAAGTTACATTACATTTTATTATTGGGAAATAAACAGGCCGAGATTTTTTTTCTGAACTTAATTCTGTGATATTTTTTAATTTTTCAGACATTATATTAGAAAAGTCATATCATGGGTTGATTCGTGAAAATGAAACTCTGGTGGAAATAACTCCTTTGATTAAGGTGGATGAGGAGAAAATTTG